ATATTTATTTACGCTTTACTCTTCAATTATTACGATATATCTTTAATTAATTTTTTGGCGAAATTTTTTCCAAAGTGTCATTTATCATCATTATAATTATCATTATTATCATTATTATTATCAATATATATCATTATTGTTATCATTATTATTCAACCATTATTATTATTAAGCCTTTTAATGACAATTAAGAGAAATTTTCCATATGGCTATTCATTATAAAACAAATCAGTTATCTCAACTTTTTAATCAATTCAAGCGAAGTTATAAAAAATCGTTAAAAACCAATTGTATGATTCTTAATAATGACATGGACATAGGTGTAAACTTCTTCTTCGAACAGCTCTCACCAGTACTGGTTAGGATTGTTCCGCTGGCTACAACAGTAAGAGTCTCCAAGCCGGCCGGTCCGACGCCATTGCTAATAATAATAGAAACCATTCTTTTTTCCATCGTCTAAGTCCATATATCGCTGGTCCTCCTATACGTTCAAAATTTTTAGTCCAGGTCTGACTGTATTAGTCCAGGTCCTCCTCGCTTTTGACGCTAGTCATCACAGGGCTTAGCAAGTAGCGAAATATGTGTCAACTCTTGTGGTGGACGACGGAGAAGGTGCCCTAACCAGCGAAGGCGACGTTCTGTAATAACTTTATTAATATAAATGGTATTTGAGCGAAGGTGGATACAATCATGTTCGATTTTATCCGCTCGACGGATCCGTGATATGTATCTTAGACAATAGTGATCAAAGGCTAATAGCTTTTATATACCTTCCACTCTCATTGGTCATATTTCGTAGCCATATAGCAAGATCGAATGAATTGCAGCTATATGGACGCGGATTTTCGTCTTTATGGTGATTTCGCGATAATTTCATAAAGGTTTCATCAAGGAAAAATATAATTCTAGCTGCCGTTATCCAGGTTACGATTTCATCTTTTTCGAGAGCATCGAATGCTCTTTGATATAAATAAAACAAAAAATAAATCTTAGAAATAAAAAAATATGCAAATAGATCACAAAATATTTCTTTTCAGGATTGATTATTCCAGTGAAAAAAAGAAAATTAATTAATTTAATAATTATATTTATATTTAATAATTAAAAATTAGTCAAAATATACTCAATTATCAGTTCATCAAGCTACTTCACAAAAATCTCTGTGAAATGTTCATTGTTAATGAAAATAATTATAGGCTTTGCAGAGATCTGAGAATAACTAATATCGAAAACGACTAAGCTTAAGCTTTGGCAGAAAATGAATAAATTATTTATTAATAAAAATAAATAATAATAAATAAAAATAGATTTTAAAATATTGTATTGTAACACATAGCTTCTAGTATTCAAATAGTATTTATCATTGTTCTAATTAGGGCGATTTAGATATTATTGAAATTTTCTTCAAAAAGTCATCCAAAGCGAACTAAATTGTTTAAAATGATAATTTACACCAATTTATGTTTTAATAAAAAATAGAAAATATAAGTTTAAAACTATATTTTGTAAAAACTGCAATTTTAATTTTCATAAGTTTTAATTATTTGCAATATTATTTGTAAATTATTTAACTAAAAATAACACAAAAATAAATTAATATTTATTTCTTAAAAGTACATCAATCAATTTGTTTGTTATTAAAAGATAATTATTTGATTAAAATTGTCGCATAAATTTCAAGAAAATAAAAGCAATAAGAATTTAAGTTCAACGTGAGAAAAGCGTGAGAAAAGCACTATTTGCTTTTCATATATTTTTCACTCTATTTCATTTATATAAATAAAATAGAGAAGAAAAATTCGTAGATATCGTATTTTCTAAACTGACTTTATTGATTTGTAAATAGAATTATGAAAAATTCACTATTTAATTAATTAATACCTAAATATTATAAATAATTTTAAATAATAATACGAATAATAAGAATTAACATTGATAATCAGTAATGATAATAATAAATTATCTGAAAAATTTTGAGCATAATTCGAGTATAAATAGCTGTCTGAAAAGGTTGCTAAAGCACAAATTTAAGAGAAGCCTGACTACTGATTGCTTCGAAGAATTACAACATAAATAGATAAATTAAATTAAATTTTTGTAGAGGTGTACGCTTTCCAACATAATACCATGCGATATTCATTCTTTCAGCATTCTTCAGCATTCTTCTTCTTCTTCTAGCTGCATTTGTCATTTTTGATTTAGCTGGTTACGCCAGCCATTGGCATGAGACTGATTCGCTAACGATGTTGCCAAAGTATGGCTATTTTCGATTTTGGCCGCGTGCAAATATATTCATTTTACTTATTGCTTATGAACTTTTCATATAAATTATTATTTGAACTTTATCAAATATTGAACAGTACAGTAAATATAATTATGATTTCTTTTCATCGGATTCTTCTTCTTCTAACAGCTCTCACCATTACTGGTTAGGCTGGCTCGAACGGCTAAAAGGGTAAGATGCTTCCAAGCGGTGCGGCCTGATGCCATCGTCGACAGTAATGGAAACCATTCTTTTTCCATCGTCTAAGTCCATATATTGCTGGTCCACCTATACGCTCAAAATCTTTTCTCACCTTATTAGTCCAGGTCTCGATTGGCCCACCTCGCTTTTGAAGCCAACCGTCACACGGTTTAGCAAATAACGAAATTTCACAGGATTAGTCATTCTTAAAAGAGTTTTTATCAGCAAAATAAATTTTCACATTGAGGATTATAAGAAGACATTCTTATTCGTCAAGCATGATTCGCGTGCCTAGAAAGCGATAAATAAATAACATCGATCAAGGTTTTCTCTCATTTTGGCATTTTTTATATAATAGCCATACATATGATGGATGATTTTTGATTCTGAATACTACCACCTTTTCCGCATTTTATATCAAAGGGAAAGGTTCCATGAAGTAAAAGATAAAGTTAAAGATATTAATAAAAATTTTATTAAATTTAGTAAAATATAACGAGGGAAATATTAAAAGCTTATAAGGAAATAAATATTATGGTAATATCCTAGTAACTAAAAAATTGTTTAGTGCATTGTTTTAAGATTAAAAATTTCATCTTATCGACAAATTTTAAGAATTTAAGATGTTGAAAAGCGAAAAAGCTTTTTATCTGATAAAAAAAAGGGAAAAGGAAAAGAAAAGAAAAGGAAAACGAAAGGGAAAAGTTCCATTTTATTTTTCAGTAAATTTTAAATGAGTGGTCATCGAGCTGACCACTATAGGCTCTCAGTAGTCTATGGCGTCTTTCAACAAATACATTGCAATTTACTAATTTGAATTATATATTCCCATTCTGTGGCACAAAACGATTTTTTAACGAAGTCTATTCATTCAAAACTCCTCCGCAAAAAAATCTCATGAATTTCGAAAATTTAAAAATATGAAAATATAACACTGTGATGCCATGGATTTTTATAGCATCAACGAGTGGGTCCATGAAATAAAAAAGAATTTTACAATTGTTTTCAGCAAAACTAAATAAACTGAATTTTCAATTTGCCGGTAATATTTTAAAAGATAAAGAAGATTTGTTAAAATAAATTTTAAAAAAAGCCTAAATAATTCGTTTATGCACCACCATAATTTTACGCTTTTTAAATTTGAATCGTTCTTCGTTATGTGAAATTTCATGTATCTTGTTTAAGCCTCAAACTAAAATTAAAATTAAAGAGAGAGAGACTGTATTTTTATAAGAATGCGACTATATTAAGGTTGATTTAGGATGATATAAGTTTTAATACATTTTTTGTTGAAAATAAATTTGCTAACTTATTATTACACTAAAACTTAGAATTATCTATGAATATAATTATTTAGGTTTAATTAGTTGTCTCTGATCACTTTCCATGAGAATAGAACTTAAATTATATAAATTATGTTCTAATAATGATTATTATTATAAATAATTATTTCAATAATTCCAATATTAAAGCAAAAGAACAGTGGGAAAATATGGAAAATTTATAAATTTGTATAAAATTTATTGAAAGTTTTTCATCAGTAATTTCTAAATAAAGGAATGATAAGTAATAAATAAAACAGATTGTAATAATAACTTAATAACTAAATAACTGATAATATGCACTTTCGTGATGTTTCGTGATAACAAATGAAAAAATTATACTTTATTAATTAGACTTAATTAATATGCATTTGCAATACATTTGTAATATATTTGATATATTTAATCAATGAGATAAGAAATTGCCTAAAGCAGCTTTTCAAGGGAAAAATAAAAATGATATTCGGAACCGCCTTCTTAAACGCCTTTTTTTTCAGCTTATTTAATACTTTGTCAGTCTAAGTATTATTATTTTTCCAAGCTTCCACATTATTTTCTTCTCTTTTTACAATTTTTCCTTTTCTTCCAGTATTCCAAGAATTTTCAATTACCAAATTTATTACGAATCTGTGCGTTGAATTTATTTACTTGTTTGTGGTACACTTATCATTCGGCATTATCGCTACTATTTCCGAATGACTCGAATTATATATTAATCGAAATCATATCAAAATTAGTGCATCTATTCGATATTTTTTTTACAAAAGCTTATCATTCACTGATTCACTCGCTTATCAATTATTTTACAAGTGATAAGTTTTAAATACTAACGAAAATTGGTGGTGAAATAAATTGATAAAATTTAATTTATTCTTTTTTTTGCGAGAATAAAACAGCATTCTTTTCTTAATTCTTTGAGTAGTTTTGAGTGCGAACAAGAGGTTTCAACAAAAACTCTATCGTTATTCTTTAAAAATCAAACCGCAAATTTTAATCAAACAATTCGACAATTACGAATAAATATTACAAAATCGAATAACGGAACTACTAATCTTTCAAAAACAACTTATAAGAGGCGAATTCGCTCGAATATTTTTCGTTTCATATTTAATACGAAAAATAGAAATAAAAAAAAAAATTTGAAAACAAAAATCGACAACGATAGTAGTGCAAAAGCAGCTGAAGCTGCCGAATGCACACCACCAAACGGTTGCATGTTTAATACGCCAGAAAATCAAAAGGACAAATTACAAACATCATCTTCCAGTTCAACATCGTCACCACCAGTTGTTGCCGTTCCATTACCACCCGATATTACGTTTTTTAAGAAAGCGGTTTGTATTCGTCAGCCACTGTTGTCTGGTGCTACAGATAGCTCACAATCAAGATTTAGCAGTTCTAGAGCAGCACCGCAATTGTCGTTTTCCGCATATCCTTCATCATCATCGCCACCACCACCACCACCAAGATCTGCCCATACGTGTCTCAGCCTTTATAATCGTCCAAAGAATATCGATTATCGTGAACAAAATTTAGCTACACAAATTCATCCTTTCGTTAAAATTCCTCACCTTCATACTTCTTTATTATTCCAGGCAAGCGCAATTATTTTATTGCCAAATATTATAATTATAGTAATAACTAGCTATATTAATTATAGATGACTTTAGCGATTATGCCACTTAGAATAATCATAATTTTAAGGGAAATTATTAACTATAAGTGATAATAAATGAATAATAAAAGTGATAGTGGATGGTATCACTAATAGTACCAGTTTTTATAAATAATGATAAGTGATAGTGGCATTGCTTAATTTAAAAAATTTCATAAGAGCCTATAGAAGAAAATGGCTAAAAATACATTTCTATCATTATTTGTAATAAAGTTATTTACATGTAATTTTATAAGTTTTTTCCTTTTTTTATCGAAAAATATCAAAATCGCTAGGGGATTTCAAACAAAAATTCTTATAGTTATTACACGAAATATTTTTTTGAATTTTTTAATCGAGTAAATAGCAAAAAATAATTTTTTCTGAAATTTTATCTTCTATTAAATTGAAAATTTATAAATTTAGCAATTTTTGAAATTTTAGAGTTTTTCATCTATTCTTCCATTTTGAATTTTTATAGCATTGAAAATTTATCGAGTTCATTAAAAATTTAAAAGAAATTTTGCAAGAAAATATTTTTGAAAATATTCTTCATAGAAAAATTATAATTGTAAATATAATTATAATGGTTGCACTTTAATTGGACCGATTTAATTAATTATTTTAATTGATTTATTATAAATAAATAATTTAAATAATTTAATTTTTTACAAATCTAAAAATTTAAAAAATTTAATGAAATTTTTTAAATAAGAAATTATTTAATTTTCTACAATTTTGGTCGCTTATTATAATTTTATAATTAGTTAAATGAAGGCTTCGCATGCCATTTCGTTTATTCATAATCATTCTTCGCATAGATTAGAAATTAGTGAAGAAAATTTATTTTTAACAAAAATTTCATAAAATTTAAAAATTTAAAATCTTTTTAGTTAATTTAATATCGCTAATTTACAAGTATTTTTTACAGCTATTTTTTCTCAAAAAATTTATTTTCTTTATTATTCATTAATATAATTTTTCTTTTCACTTATAACTGAAACTAATGCATATTTGTTAATTGAAGAGGAAAATAAAACTTTATTGACGAAAATGATTTTTATCGGAATGACAGAAAATAAAAAAGAAAGTATTTAAATGGAATGTTAATATTGATGAATACTTTCGAGCCGTTTTATTATTTGTGCGTATTTAGTAAATCGCTTGAATGATTATTCATTTTTTTTTTCTTAAAAATTTTTCTAAAATATCCATTAAAGTTTATGAAAATTGAATTTATGGGAAATGATGAATAAATAGAAAAATATGTACAAAAGGAAAATAAAAAAAATTGCTATTTTATTGAATTTTATACTAAATCTAATAATAAACAATAATAAACAATAATAATAAACAACGATGATAATGATAATGATAGTAATAATAGTAATAATAATAATATTAATAATAGTAATGAACAATTGCCTTGAAAAATTTATTCAAATTATTCATTATTCGTTCTCATTATTCATTCAAAAATTTTCAATGTTCATTAATATTCAAAAAATTTCAAAATTAATAAAATTCATTATTAATACTCGTCGGATAATTTATTAAATAAAAACACATCTAATGAGATAATAACTATATATTTTCTTTCTTTATTTTGTGTTGATAATTTCTGGAAAATAAATTTTCCAACCAAAAAAAAACGAAAATTTTAAAAAAACCAAAAAAAACAAATATGAAAAAATCAAAAAATAAAAATAAAATAATTATGCGAAAAATTCAGAGCTCTCGATATTCTTTTTTTTCTGAATTTTTGTAGGCATTTTCAATATATTTAATAAAAAATGTACAGCTGATTGTGTTAGTTATTCTATATAAACGGGCAAAATAGAGTTTTTTTCGTTTGCGATCATTTTATTCCATTTATAACTTTTAATTATGCAATAATAAAGTTTATATATATAAATTTATATAAATATATAATAGGTGAAATTTAAATATTATTTTTGGGCAGATGTTATATATAAAAAAACAATTTATATATGGAATTTTCTTTCCTTAAAAAATTTTTCCTTATAAAAATTTTTAAATGAATTATTAAAATAACGAAAAATCGAAAAATTTTTATTAATATATAGCAAATATTTAATGAATAAATAGGCCATAATATTAAAAAAATTTGGCATTTAATACACAATATTTTAGAAAAAATAGATCTACATTGATAAGAAATGATTGAATTTATCATTACTTTTGAGCTGAATTTTTATTTATTTATCACATTTATCAATTTATTTGAATTTATTTAATTCATTTATCATATTTTCTTTCAGCGATCGTCATTAGAAAAAGCACGACATTTAAACGCACTTGCTTCATATCAGGTCAGTATTTTATATGTTTATGAGTTCATTTATTATTAATAAATTCTATAATATATAATCATCCAATTCTGTCAACGATAGTCATTCATTTATGTAAATTTAAATAAAAAATTGGTCTAAAAATTTCAAATGAAAACTTTAAAAGTTGTAAAAAATGCTTTAAAAATTATAAAATTATAAAAAATTATAAAATCTGAAAGGTATTTCAAAGTGAAATATCATTTTATTTAATACCATATGCAATTATGCAAAAAAAAATCTATAAAGTTAAATAAAGTTGATAAAATAGCATTTCCGTGAAAAAAATCCCTTATTTAATCCATTTTCGAATATAAACTAACGTGAAGGAAATGGATAAATCAATTTAACACAGTTTTTTTAATAAAGTCAAATTCATTCTTTTTTATGCTTAATTACTTTTCAACATATATTAGTTACTAATTTTACTAATTTTTTTTCAAATTTTTTTTATTGCCCTAAAATCTAAATTCGAAAATTTCGTCGAAAATTTCACTTGGGTTTCAGGAAAGCGATAAGTAAAACGAGCTATTTTTTTATTAATTTTCTCGATTTTTTTAATAATATTTAACGATTTTGATGAACTATTATTGATTATTTTTCTCCTTATATATTAGTATGCTTAGTTATAAATTTTGAGATTTCTCAAGTTTTCTGCTAGAAGGCAAAATATACTTAATTTTAGGTTGCCTTAACCCTCTTTTTAAACGCAAAAGTAGCATTTCAAAAAGAGCGAAAAAAGTTCAGATTAAGCGATATAGCAAAAAAATTCATTTATGTGATTTGTCAGTTCTCATTAGAATCCGTTTTTCTAGCAGAAGATTTAAGACTTGAGAAATTCTAGCATTTTAATACTTTTAAGGTTAATTCAAGTAAATGCAAAGCCTTAGCAATGCCATGATAAACTTAAAAGTGCATCCACAAAATTGTTAGATAAGTTATCACTTTATAGAATTTTTTTTTTTTTAATGACATAATGACATTTCAATGTAACAATTTAATTGCATCCGAAATAAAAATTTATGAAATTCGGTGCTTTAAGAAATGATTTAAAAAATTTTCCCCAAAAAACCCAAAATTAATGAGAATTTCGCTGCTTATTTCTTATCTTTTTTTTTGCTTAAATGATTGTTGATCGACTATTATTACTATAAATATTTAAATTGCTTCGACGAAATTCGTCTGCCAATAAACCTTGATTATGTAAAGCACGTCAAAACGGAATAATAATAAATATATTAAAATCGATGATAATAATTTCATATATTTTGCAAAATTATGATAATACAATATTAATTTTATAATATTGATAAGTGGAACTAAAAATATTTAAAAGATTCTTTAATGGTAAATTTTTTGATCTCTTTTTTTCTAAAAAATTTTTTTGAAAATTTTTTTAAATGAAAAATTCAATCAAAAAATTAAAACAAATTTTTATTATTTATTATTTAATATTTAAAATTTATAGAATTTTTATGAAATTTCAGATGGATTTTCGGTATATTTGAATTTAGATAACTATTAATGAAACTTAAGGATGCCATAACCAGCCAGTCATAATAAGTGAAATAAACAGCTAGTAGAGACAATTCATCGAATCTTCATGGATAAACCATTCCACAATAAGTCTTTGTATTATTTACTGGTGTAATTAAAGATGGAAAATAATTTGCAATAAAAAAAATTGCAATAAAAACATCGCAAATAATCTATAAGCACTGCCTTTTCTTTAGCCAAAGAATTTAGTTAAATTAATCAAAAAATTTACTAAAAGAGATTATTTATTTATATAAAACCTTTGTCAAATTTTTTTTACATCCAATATTAATTTTCTTGACACCGAATTTTTCCAACTTACCAGCATAATTTATTCATTTAATTATGCTAGCAGAGTTTTTTTGTCAGTTCTCATTAGAATCTTCTCTTAAAGGCAAAAAAGGCATTGTTTTTAATTTAAGGATATGTTTGTTCAATTTTTTTTATTCTAAAATCAACTACCATTTCTAATTTGGCTGACTCCATTGACTAATAGGTTGAAATCCTTTCGCAAGCTTATCACTTGGGAATAGAACAAGAAGTTCATTTTACCAACTTAATTAATGAAGGATTTGCATTAGCTATGGCAAAAATTATCAGTGAAAGCAATAAAAATAATAATAATCCTAACATAGATGATACACTTTATAATCTAAGTCTATCATCTATTGAGTTCGCTTCGTCGTTTGATCATTTCTCCTCTCTTGGAATCATCAGAAATCTTAATAAAAATTAAATAATATCACTAAAATATGAACCTTCTAAAATAATTATGAAAATATGTCAATATACAAGTCTGTCTTTCTACTTTTAAAATCTGGCAACATATGGCAATTAACTTTACAAAATTAAAGGTAACATATTTGCAATGATAAAAACTTGTCAATCAAAAATGCCAAAATTCATTTTATTTGTAAAGTTGTAAAAATTTGTTAAACATGGCAAAAAAAAATTTTAAACATTTTCCTTTATTTTATTTTTAAACTTTCTTCTTTCTTATAAAATTTTTTAAAATAAATTTATTTATTTATTTAATTAATACAATTTTTTTCTTGGTGGCCCATTGGTTATTGTTATCATTTCGAAGCATGCGGTTCCATCATCATTCGGCAAGAATGAGTGACCTGCACTTCTATCGTCTAAATTTGTCGGTCTTGCAAGTTAGCGGAATGAGTCTAACCAGTAATAATGGGTGTTTTTCAAAGAAAAAAAACAAAATACAACAAACTATTTTCTCAAAATTTTAATATCTTATTGAACGATTAATATATATTTATCGAAAAGAAAAAATTTTAATAAAATATTTAATAAAATGTTTCAAATATAAAATATTTTCCGTATAAACTCGCTAAATTCTTTTATTCTTAATTCTATTTTAAAAAATTCTTAAAATAGATTTTTTATTTTTTTAATTTGAAATTTATGAATGATTACTATTTAAAAAAAAACTTTTTTCTCACCACATTGTGGATGGATGTGATCATTTTTAACCTCGAGTCCTCTACCAGTGACTTGAGAGATTGAGGGCGCAATACCTTAGTTATTGCTAATAGTGTGCTGTTCTGGACAGAAATCTCCTCTGGAATCTACTGAAGCCACTTTTCTAGTTTAGGGAGTGCAGTTCCAAGTGCTCCAATTATTATTATCATTATTATTATTATTATTACTATTATTATTACGAAGCTCATATAATGATATTAAAAATAACCCCTGAATCCTGAAAGGATAATAATGGAAAATAATTTTATTTCGAGATTTTAAGAGGAATTCCACTTCATTAATTCTTGCTTATTGGAGATCTTTAATTTTTAAAAGATTTCGATGCAGGATTCTAGTGATTCTGATTATTTTTTAATAAATTTTTCTATACTTTATTTTGAGTAATATTTATTAAAATTTCTTATTTGTTAAAATAATTAAAATAATTCAATCCTACAAAGAAAAATTAGAAATTGGTTTCTCAGTTGTTGGCTTATTAAAATTATTTGCATAAAATTAATTCATACAAGTCGTTTTCGAAATTTCCATGGATAAAATCATCATTCGCGAATTATTTTTAAATCTAAATAAAGACCTCTTTTAATAACTTTTTACGAATTCCTACTAGTTCTTCAACAATTAGTAAATATTTCTCATCACTCTCGATGAACGATTCAATAAATATCCCCTTAAGCGAGCATCCTTTCACTATTTTAATCCCTTTGCTTATTAAAGAAAAGCCAATTTCAATTTTTAATAGATTTGTTGAATAATTTTTCTTATCGAATGAGGTAATTTTCGGAAAAAATCGTTAGCAAAACGAAAGAAATAATTTTTAAAGTTGACAAGTAAATGCGACGATTGAAAAGCTTTTTATAAATTGATTATTAAATATTATATTTTAAATATTTCATTTAAAAAAATTTTTTCAAATATTTCTATTTTCATTTAAAATTTAATATTTTTAATATTCTTACATTATCAAAGATAGTACACGCAATTATAACTGCTGTTGTTATTAAATGTTGTACTTACTATTAGAAATGCTCTCTTCTGATATTGTTATTTTTACTATTATTATCGATTTTATTACATTATTAAATTTGTTAATTAATATATATTATTTTATCAATATTTCCATAATTTTTATCACCACTATTATTATTATCTTTATGACTATCATAATTATCATCATTATATTATTATTATTAATTGTTTTCGCTATTATTATCATTAATATCATGAAAATATTTTCTTATTTTAGAGGATTTTAAATCATATTGAATAAAAAAGTTGGAAATAATAGCAAATCTAATATTTCATTTATTTTTGTAAATTTAAAATTTTATTCTTTTTTCAAGCCTTCTTAATTGGTAATTCTCTTGCATGCATATTAATTTTTAGCACTTTTATGTTTCTTTTCAATCATTTTATTTGCATCATTTTTTCTTAAAAAATCTTATCAATTTAATGAAAAAATATTTTTTTCGATATAAAAATTCTTTTTGCTTATTTCATTTTTAGTTAATTCATATTCAAATTGCATAATGGAAAAATAAAAAAGTTTAAATATTTTAAAAAGCAATAAATACAAATATCATTTCTTAATAAATTCTAATCTCAAAAAAGTTTATTAATAATCAATTTTGAATTTTCTTCATTCGACGCGATAATCTTGTATAAACATTTTTAAAATTCTATTTCAACGTGGTCTTCGAAATTTTCATTGAATTATCGAAATTTAGTGAATTTTTTCTTCTCCTCGACAAATCCCACTCACTTCCAATTTTTTACTCGACGATTCGATCATAAATCTTTTATCTTTAGGCTCAATTGTTAAAACGCTTTATTTATTCTGAGGCATTCATTCATTTGATTCAATCTTCAATCTTGAAATTTTAATTTTTTTGCCATCCTAAATGAAAGAAATCAGCAAAAAGACTGAAATAGGAGTGCAAATGTAGGAGAGATTTTCCATTGCACATCATTACAATAAGAAAGACAATAATGTATCGTTGATTAATCGGTGACTTGGTAATAAGATGTTCAATTTTTTACTTTCATGAATCCAGTTTGATTTGAAAGATTTTAAAATTGCCGAATGTGACTTGGTAAATTAGGTCAATGCTTTATATTTTGTCAGGTTCATCAGCTGTCACCTAAAGTGAAAAGAAAGGTTGCTTTCATTTCGGAATGCCGATACGGTGATTTCACTCTTATTAAGAATAAAACCTGTTCAAAAATCCAGGTTATGCTAGCGACTTCTATCGCCTGATAAAGTCTGATCCGATAAAAGATCGATGCGAGCCTAATTTGTAATGGTCGAATATTACGTTTATGAAAGTGGAATTTAGAAATTTAATTAATTTTTATAGGTGATAAACAAGCAGATAGACAAAATTACGAATAAATAGATAATAATAAAAATAGTGAATAATAATAAATTTTAAGTATTTTCATAAGCTCCTCTTAAATTCTCATAAATTCTGATAACAAAAAGATTTTATTAGTTGTTTTATATATATTATTTGGTTGTAAGCAAAAAATTTATTTTTTTTACTTCCATCTATAAATTATCCAGTTTGATTTGAAAGATTTTAAAATTGCCGAATATGACTTCTCAGATTTTTGTTTTTATTTTGCTTATTAAAACAGGTAGGCTAGGTGGATAGGATGGCTTAATGGGTTGTTGCTCAATTTGGAGCGCCGATGCTGAGGTCCGCGAGAGTAAACCTGTCCAAAAATCCGGGTGATGCTGGCGACTCACCTGTCATTCTATCGCCAAGAGATTCTCTGGCGCATTTGTCCAATGCGACAAACCAGCGGAGTGAATTTGACCGGTTATAGTGAAAACTCTTTAAAAAAAAAAACCAAAAAGCAGCCATTCTTTTCTCTCATAAAAAATTTTATTTTATCAACAATTTTAGGCACAGAAACTGTTGGACGGGTCGCATCAATTGCGCATCGACCATCACGTCGGTGGCGTCGGTCACATTGGTGGTGCGTTAATTTTTATTAATAATTTTGATTAATTACAAAGAAAAAAAAAATACAAATTGATGGCAATGGCTTCATATCTAATGGAAAATTTCTGCAATTTATTTTTTTGAATATATTTGATAAAATTAAATTAATCACAAAAAAAAAATAATTATATTTTTATAAAATTCAAAAATAGCCGTTCAACACTAAAAACAAACACTAATTCTAATAGCATTTATATTTATAAAAATATTATTAATATTTTTATTGACTATTCAAAATTATCTAATTGATCAATTCAATCAATTATTTATTGGTTGTAAAATTATAAAAAAAATGCAAAAAAAAAAAAAAAAATTTAAAGCAAATTCTTCATTAAACAAGAGATTAACACATTTCTAATTAGGCTTTTAGCAAAATATTCTAACTAGGGAGTCATTCGGCCATGAAAGCGCTTTTAGTATCGTTTAATAATATGCATGCTTCTATCCGAGGAAAACTATCTTAATGCTTTAAAGTCTAAATCCAACAAGCATTCAGCATTCTTTTCCTATAAATCAACTTTTTTTTTTTTTAAGAAAGATATTTTTATTTTCGGTTAAAAAAATTAAAAAATTTTATGATATTTTATTTTATTAGTTTTTTTTTTCTTTCATTTTTCATAAATGTTGAGATAAAATAAAAAAATTTATAGGCCACAGCCACAAAAAAGAATTCGGTCCAGCAATGATCTTATTTTATTTAGCATCCGCATTTCGTGCTTTATATCCTCGTTTAGATGATGATTTTGTTGATAAACTCAATTATTATTATACGACTACCATATGTAAGTGGTTTTTATTGGGTTTTTTTTTCGTATTAAATTCTACTTAAACGATATTAAAATTCGCTATTATTAAATTCGCTATTTTGAAATGAATTAAATTTTTCATATTGGTTTATTTCTAATTTCTAAATTTTTATCATTTTATTCAATTCATTCTATTTTATTTTAGTTTATTTTATTTATTTTTAGTTTATTTTTTTTTGTTTGAATTTTTTTCACATTAAATATTTTGCATATAAAAAATTTTTTTTAATGGGAATTTTTTAAGAAAAAATAATTTCAGTAGCATCATTTGCATTACTTGTTTCCGCGAAACAATATGTTGGTATGTTTCTTAAATTATTTAAATTTTTTTATAAGACGGATTTTCATTCAGTTATTTAAGCAATACAGGAAAGTGGATTATCGCTATTCCTCGGAAATATAGTATTTAATACAGTTTTGAGAAGATGTATTAGTGACGATGAAAATGAAAGGCAATGCAGAGGAAGCATAGATGGAAGCAAATATTAAATAAGTGGCTATCGTTTTTCACCAGAGAGATATTTAGCGATAGAAATACAAGTGGATGAGCTAGGTTTTTATTAACTTTTATCCACTTTTATCAGGGCTGGGCGAGCTAAAAAATGAAATTTCTCATAAATAATTGTTTGGCAAAGATCGAAGCAACTATACTACTCGAAAATTCCTCTTCGCCCTCAAAAAAGTTTAAAGTCTAAACGAGTAGCATTATTGTAGAGGCTATTAAAGAAATACAATGGACGGACATTTTAAGTTAGTTAGCGTTTAAGGATATCCTAAATGAATATAAAAGTTACGACAAAAGTCACGAAAAAAGAATCCAATTTTTTGTTGTTATTTTCAAATATATAATTTACTATTTAATTAGCTAAAAATATTCAATGGAATAAAATATTTCATTAAGAAAGTATAGAAAAAGTGAGAAAAAAACAACTAAGGTAAGGATTTATAGTGAAATAAATAAAATTATAATAGAAATCCATAATTTTACACCTTCTGAATTTCGCTATATTAGATAGGCATGCAAAATTACTTGACAAAATCATTCATATCATTACATCTTTCAAGGCAATTTCATTTTTAAAAGACATTACCAATATTTATGAATTCGGATTTTTTCCTCTTCTAAAACCATTTACTATTATTGATTAGATTAATTAATCGGTTATTGGTAAATATTTTCAAGCAAAGTGATTTAGTTCATCTGATTTTAAAAATGGCCACCATTTTTTTTTCCACCATTTAAAAATAGCTATATATCCAAATGCAAACAATGTATCATTTCGTCTTATACACAAGTAGATGATAAAATACCTATTTTTACAAATTAATTACTGGTTGAGAAAGTACCTACCCGGCTTTAAATATCTCTGATCCACTTTAATCCCAAATGTTCAGACAAAAGACAAAATTGTAACTCGGATCATGGGAAATGCATTCTTCGAGTTAATAACAAAACTTCAAAATCTTTTCTGATCATGCAAATATTAATCAAAAGATTTTTCTATAAAAATTTCTTGATTAAATGATTATAAAATTTGTATTTACTGCATTTTTAATTAATTTATATATATTATTTATTAATTAAAATGGCTTCATGCAGGTTTTCCCATACAATGTTGGGTGCCAGCAACGTTCACTGATGCAATGGAACAATACACTGAAAATTATTGCTGGGTGCAAAATACTTATTGGGTTCCAATGCAGGTCATATTATCAATAATTTGGCTTTTCATCAACTATATTATGCATAAAAAATTTTATAATATGCAAATACAATAAGCAAATTAAACTGAGAGATTGAGTAAGTCATTGAATAGGGATGATACCAACACATTATTTCTACGATTTTAATTTATCTTCGAAAAATAATTTAAAATTTGTGAAATCTTTGGAGAAATACATTTAGGAAGATATACCTCGAGAGATTTATTCGAGGCGCAATCGTCAAATCGGTTATTATCAGTGGGTACCATTTATTCTTGCCATTGAAGCTCTGCTTTTTTATGTGCCATGTATATTATGGAGAGGAATGCTTTACTGGCATTCAGGTAAATTTTTTTTTGTCGGTTTTTTTGTATACTCAGCTTATAAATAATTATATTAAGCATTATTTAAGGCATCAATTTGCAAGGCCTCGTACAGATGGCTTGTGATGCAAGACTTATGGATTCCGATGTAAAAAGTCGAACAGTATATACAATGGCGAGGCATATGGAAGAAGAAGTTCAAGTATGGATTTAAGGAACTAACTATTTTATCCCCAAATGCTTTATTGATGCAGCTAGTTGAGCCAGAAATCTCAAAAGAGAAATACCTAAACCGTGGAAGTGATTGCAGATATAGTAACATGATAAATCATTTTACTCCTTTTAATTGGTCCTTGGCAAGCAAAATCCTTGGTAAAAATCTCTAATCGTACTATCTCTAAAAGTCAATGAGGCAAACAAACCAGTAATAATAAAGGCTAATCAATCAAGGACAAGAAAAGAAGGAAACATGGATAAAAGTGGAATAAATTTTTTTCTTCTTTATTTATTTTTTTTTTATAAAAAATATTTAGTTAACACAACTGGAAAGGCATAACCAAACTCGAACATGTTTCTCATTCATACAATTTGGAGGAAATTGTGGGAAACGTTGTGGATGTTATGTTACTATGTTATATATTGGCATAAAGGTTATTTATTTATTTTTTTACTATCTTTATTTTTCACTGTTCTATTATTTTATTATTTTAATTATATTTTAAAATGGTAAAATAATTTTTAAAAAATTGAAAAAATCTTTTTATATTTTCTATAATCTCCATTTTTTTTATAATTTACATTTTACTTCATTTATTTAATTTATTATTTTTGCATTATTATTATTATTATTATTATTATTAATTTATAATTATGCTTTTTAGATGCTTTATTCTGCAAATGTTATGCTTCAATTCTTCTTATTAAATCATATTCTTGATGCAAACGATTTAGCTTATGGTTTTTCATTGTTAAGAGATCTTATGCATGAAGTTGAATGGGAACAAACTGGAATGTTTCCAAGAGTCACTCTTTGCGATTTTGAGGTGATTTTTTGTTTAAGAGCACAACATAAAGGTTATAACACACATCATTAGGAATTAAGACGATTTGTGCCGATTTAAAAAATGACCCTCCTGATATTGAACTAAATTTAAATTTAAAAATTAACATAAAAGAGGCTTCTGCGTATATCTGCACTATATTACTACACTGGTTTTGACTTTAAAATCTCCTCTGGTTTTGTCATATCAGATCTAAATTCAGTAAAAGGGAAAGGGATAAGAGAAGGTGATTAAGGTGATTATTTTATGAAATTATTTTTCTTGTTTCTCCAGTTCGACATAAGCAACTTAGCTGGCATTTAATCTAGCGTGGTTCTTGTTAAAATAAATATATGATCCGCGATGAGATTCTCGAGTTGATTCGCGTATATTCATTGATTTATAAAATACAACAAATAATAAAAAAAATATAATAAAGAAAGTGTAATTTATAAATTTAGGTTCGAGTTCTCGGAAATATTCATCGACATACAGTTCAATGTGTTCTCATGATTAATATGTTTAATGAGAAAATTTTTTTATTTTTATGGTTTTGGTTTTTAACTGTTGGTTTGATAACAATTTTCAATACTTGCTATTGGATTTTAATTATGTTCGTCCCGAGTAAAGTTAGACTTTTAAGTTGTTTTTTTTTCCTTTTTTTTGCGTTAATAATTTGCGTCTATGATAGTTTTTCAGTGGGCATTCGAATGTACAATAAAAATAAAAATAAAGTATCAATTTAAAATAAATATCAATATTTTTCCATAATTTTTATTTATTTATTATATTATTATGATATTTATTACATTATTATGTTTTAAATATTATTATTATTATGTTTTAAATATTTTCAATAAATAATTATTAGCAAATTATTTATCTTCTATTTTCTTATTTCAAAATTTATTTAAAAAATTTAATGAAATTTTTTAGAGTGTACAATTTATTCGTAAATATTTACGAGTCTTAAGTGATCATCCATCGAAACCTATCGCTGATGAAATTTCACTACGAAAATTTACGAATCAATTTCTACGAAAAGATGGCGTTTTTATGTTGAGAATGATTTCAACTCATGCTGGTGAATTAATGAGCAGTGAGCTAATTCTTGCGCTATGGCAGGTTTGCTATTAGATAGATTTATTTATAACCTTTTTTTCCTTTAAAAAAAAAAAAAAATAAATGATGCACTAATTTTAGAAAATAAAAAATATAATTGAATTTTTTTTCTAGGATTTCAATAATGTTGATCGATCTTCGACACAATTTTGGGATGCTGAACACGGTGCAGCAACTCTTGATGCATGACATATATGAGCATTCGAAAGGTAAACTGTGGTTGTTTAGAAATTAGGTAAAAATTTAATGAATATTTTGAATATCTGAAATGAATTTAGCATATTTTTCTATATTTTATATTTTTTATTTTAATTCTATATTATTTTACTTATAATTTAATTTTACTTAATTACTCCATTATAATTGTACTATTGTGAATCTACCAAAATTCTAAAATTATAAACTGCTATTTCCATTATTTAGGAAAAAAGTTTCAATCTTTGTCGATGCTTGAAAATGGAAAATTACTAAAATCACTAAATTCAACTATTTTTGAATTTATTTTATGAAGGAAATTTTTAGCAAAAGTTCACACAATTTACTTTATTATAGAAATTTCTTTACAATTTTTTGATAAAAAAATATTTGTGAGAAAACAAAAAAAATAAAAAAAATAATATAATTATAAATTATATAAATATGTGACAGCATATGTGGCAGCTCGAATTTCATACTATTAATACTATTAATTTAAACTCTTCTAGAAAGTCTTATTGGTAATTTTTGTTGATTTTATTGATAAACTGATAATATTGTTTTTCAGTTTTTCTGCTCTAACGAGGATCAGACTAAAAATAAAATTATCAATGATGTTCGATCATTGCCATTCAATATTCTTTCAATAATAGTAGTAATTGAAGTAATGTGAAAGAGTGCTTAACTATTGAAGCAGTCATTTTTTACGAACGCTCAAGTTCAACTGCCCTATAATTTTTTTAAAAGATTATTTCTCTTCAAAATAATAGAAATTTTTTCGAGCCAGTTACAAAAAAAATTAAAAAATATAAATTTTTTGAAATTATTGAATTATTATAGAAATATCAGTGGAGGTTCCCTCATAACGTGCCTGCGTATAGCACAGTTTTTAATAATTTTAATTAAATTTTTTCCATTTATCTATAACTTTATTGTAATTTTATATAATATTTAGCTATTAGATTTTCGAGAATTTGAATATAAAAAGTTTTAAACTATTTAAATTGACAATGAATATGGGAAATAACGTGTGATTAATTCACTAATTTTTATCATATAAATTTATAAATGTTATTTTGATAAAAATCAGAAAAATAATAGACAAATTTCGATTGATTTAAATCTTAGCAAATAAATAAATAAAAATTTTTCAAATAATTACATTCCTATCTTTTAAATTTAAATCTTTAAAATTTAAATCCTATAAAATTCTGTTAGTTAGTTAGTTAGTTTTGAAAAAAAATCGAAATTTCCTATTTGCAATATATGTTTTCTGAATTGATTTGAAACGGTCACCATTTAAAGAAATTTAGTTTATTCGTATTGTATTCATGAAATTATAAAACCATATGATTCCATGATGACCATAAATGATAAAAATGATTCATAAGCTTGCTATTAAAATAAAATTTTTTTCCCAAATCATAATTTCCATCATATTGCTCGACTCGTGCATTTCATTTAAATCTCATTGGCGGTAGGTGATTTGTTGGTGATTTTGGAAGGATTGTCTTAGTGGTGGTGATATTGATGAGTGATGGTGATTGTTTCAAATTAATTAATTAACGTAGAATTCTTCATTTCTTTTTTATTTTTTTTGTGAAAATTTTTAAAAATTCTAATTTTTTTACTACCTCAATAATGAGAAAAAAAAGAAATTTAATGATCTAATTTTTCTAATCGCTATTATCAATGATCTCAAAATTTTTCAGTCTTTAAAAATTGTCTTTTCAAGTTTATTCTTTGATTCTTTCGAAATATTTTTGTATTATTTTAATCGAATTATTTATAATAAATTTTGATGAATTAGATTTATTATATTGTTGCAAGAATTTTGCATAGACCTTATTTGTTGGCTTACATGCACGCATTTACATGAATTTTCATGAACACTGCAAAATTAACAATAGCCAAAGGCAAAAATTAATCGAATTGATTAGCCAATAAAAGATTTTTCAGCGCAAATGCTTTAGTCGTTTAGCTGATTCGCTGCAATTTTCATAAAAATTATTTTTTTTAATGAAAAAAAAGCCATTACAATTAAACATTACAAATATTTTGAAATAAATTTATATAATTCGATTAATATGAAAAAAAGAAAAGAAAAAGGACTTTTTTTGCATAAATATCATTGCATTGGAACTCTAAAAATTTGAATATTCTTTAAAATCTTCTAAAAAAAACTCCTCTAAAAATTTTCTTAAAAAAATCCTCTAAAAAAAAATTTCTTCACACCATAATTCTATAAAATAAATACAAATCGTTGAATAAAATGATAAACGAAATTTTTATTCTCATTCGCTTTTTTTGATTCATTTTACAATGAATCACAATCGTAAAATTTTTGTAAATTTTATCTATAAATTTATAAATTTTTTTATTCGAAAAATGAAATTTAGTTGTGTCATTTTATAAATGAATATTTCATTGATTTCTTTTAAGTGAAATAAATAAATATTTTTAAATTTGCAAATTTCATTGATCAGATTTTTGGCAAATTTTTTAAAAGTCCTTCAAATTTTACTTTTAAAATTCTGAAAACTCAACGAGCCTTAAATGATCATTTCTTTCGATCATTTAAACTTTTTTATAATAAATCAAAATTTTTTATAAAGAATTTGCTATAAAAAAAATTTGCATTTGAATAAGGATTTGATGAAAATGGATGAATAAAATAATTGGAAATAAATGAGATTTTGATTTAGGCGTCTTTATATAAATCAATAAAAATAAAATAAATAAAAATCATTTGTCATATTTTATATAATTATTTTCAGTTTGATATTTTGATATTAATCAAAATTTTAAGTTTGATGCTGATAAGCATTATCAAAAAATTAGTCTATTATAAAAAAAACTATAAAAAAACTACCTTTTAAACGTTTAATTTCGCAATTCCTAAGGAATAAATGTTGAGTTTTTATCTCTCTGATATATTTCTATACTTTTGTTATACTATCAGGATACCATCGCCTACTAGGATTACCACTCTACGACACCTTTTTATTCTAATTTTGACGAAAAGCAAAGTTTATTACTAATTTGACCAAAAATTGTTCATAAATTATTATTTTTATTTTATTTTGTTATATTTGTTTTAGTTTTGTTTTATTTTGTTAGATTTCGTTTCAATTCGATCATTATAAAATCATTATCATTTTGCAAAAAGATTTTTTAATAATAATAATTAGTGATAAAAACGAAATAAATTTAAAATTTCTTGCAAGAAAATACACTTAAATGAAATTTTGCGTGTAAAAAAGAAATATTACGTGAAAAATTACATTTTTTGCTATCTTTTATTTGTTTTACGATTGGTATTTATTTTTATCTAAGTTTTTTTGGAATTTAAGTAAATTAGATGTATTTTTTATCATAGTTATATATATATACATATATGTATTTATTTATTTGAATCTATATTTTTCTCTAAATTTTTCCAAAAATTCCTGGATTTTTCCAATTTCATAAATGAAAATTTCATTAAAAATAAATTAAATCATTCAGTATTGATGGACTGGAGTGAACGAACTGTTTGTTTTGTTGAATCATCTAAAATTTGTTCCTTTGTTTAATATTATATTAATAAATATTATACTATATTAAATATTGTAAAATCGTTAGGAATAAAACTATTTCAGATTAACTGATAAGATATTTTAAAAAAATTTGAAAATCTCAGATAAAACGAGCGAAAAAATGCAATATTTTTCTAATTTTTCTATCATTATTATAATTGCTAAGCATATACATTTTGACCTTATGACTTATAATCATTGCCTTTCAAGATTAGTTCTTCTTTTTCTAACATTACTGATTGGGCTGTCTTTACTAGTTACAGGGATCTCCAAGCTCGGTTTTCGACGCCATCGCTAGTAGTAATAGAAGCCATTCCTTTTTCCATCGTCTAAGTTTATATATCGCTGGTTCCCCTATACGTTTCAAAATCTTTCCTGACTCTATCAATCTAGGTGTTTCAATTCATTAAAGCAAATTATTAATAATAATTGACTTTTTAAATTAATTTTTAATAATAAAAAATTAATAAAATTAATTATAAAATTTCTTTATCAATTATGATTTATGAATATATGGCAAAGGTTTTTTATCTTTGATATTAATTTATTTAATATAAATTAATATTAAATTAATATTATTTATCGTTCATTTTCAGCTAGAAATTTCAAAAGATCACTACTACTGGTTGCTACTTCTATATTCCTTATAAAAATAGAAGTAAATAAGGAGTAAGTAAATATGTTTTCATCTGACTAGAATCTAACTAGAAAATGTTTGTGTTGAACTGCTATGATGATGATTCTATTATAATGCTTATCGAATACGATTGGAATGTATGTGTGTATACATTTTTGTTTGCACAATTAGTGATGCGGAATGCAGTTTAATCTTTCCCTACAATGCATATATTTTACTTATTTCATTCATAAATTACGAAAATTTTTGCATGTAAATTATTTATTCAATTCTTTGTTTATTTGTTTATTTTTTTTGCGTTTTAATCACTTTTATTTATATTATTATTAGCATAAATCCATGGTAAATTGAATATATTCCTTCCCTTGTCGGCGAAGCTTCATTATCAGAAAATGATAGATAATGATAAAATGAATTCGATGGCAATTAAATTAATCAATTCAAAAATGAAAATGAAATGATTATTAGCTAATAATGATTATTAAATTATTATTAGCTAAGAAACCAGTCTTCCAGGCTTCTGGTGAAGGATATGTATGAGTCAAGATTGAGGGTAATTATGGCCATTCACAGGAGAAGAAGAGGAGAGGAGGGGGGGAGAGAAAAGTTCTTATTACATTATTTATTTCAATTTATTAAATTAAATCTGTTTCTATTTTGTTTCTTTTTACTAATTTTGATTTGATTAATTTTATTGACCTACTTTTTTTTCTTTCTTTAAGATTGTTATTTGACGATAGAATTGCGGATAAATCTATTCCTGATCAATAAATCTATTTAAATCTATATAAAATCTATACAAAATTTTTTTAAATATCTTGGGTCCACTCTAGTACCAAACGGCTGAGAAAAAGACGAGATTATAGCCTGGACCAGCTTCTCTAGGAATGTGTTCTCCCGGTTGACGAAGCCCTTATGGAGTCGTCGTAAAATTTCCATAAAAACGAAAATCCGAAACTATATAGCCGTGATTCGTTCGATCTTGCTATATGGCTCTAAGACATGGTGAATGACAGTGGAGTATATTAAGAAGCTATCTACATTTAACCACTCTTATCTAAGGTGCATTTTATGGGCCCTTCGAGCGGATAAAATATCATATGATCCCATACACCTTCTATCAAATACCACTTGCATTAATAATGTTATCACAGAGTCTCCTTCGCTGGTCAGGTTAGGGCACGTTCTCCATCGTCCACCAAAGGAGTCCACCAAAGGTGCATATTTCGTTATTTGCTAAACCGTGTGGCGCGTCAAAAGCGAGGTGCACCAATCAAGACCTGGACTGATACGATCAGAAAAGATTTTGAATGGTTAACCAGCAATATATAGACTTAGACGATGGGAAAAGGAATGGCTTCTATTGCTGTTGACGATAGCATCATACCGCGCTGCTTGTACGCAGTGGAGTCGGCCTAACCAGTAATGATAAGAGCTGTTTAAAAAAAAAGAATACAAAAATTATCAATCAGCACTATAGGAGTTTAATTTTTATTGACATATATTAAGCGAGAATAGTAATCAAGCTATGGTTTGAATAATTAGTCTAAGAAATAGAAACGTTCGACGGCCAAAACCCTTCTTTCAAAATTTTGCTTTTATTGTAATTTTGAAAAAAATAAAATCTCCTGGTTTCCTCTTGAAATTAAAATCCACAATTGCTTTTCTAATTATTTTTTGCCCTATTTGATTTTTTTTTCTTTTTTTGTTAAGCTTATTTTTTCTTTTATTTATATTTCATAAAGTACAAAATTTTTTGCTATCATATTCACGTTTTTCGAAATATTATTTTCATAATATTTTCATTGAAAATAAGTTTTGTGCAAATTACTGCAAACAATAAATTTTATGTTTAATTATATCGTTAAAAAAATTTACAACAATAGCGAAAGAGCGATATGGTAAATTTTTGTAAACATTAAGCTTAATTTTATTTTTCATAGCAAATTTTTGCAAAAAAAAAAATTCAATTTCAGAATCGTTGAACTACGAATCAAACAAAAAACCACAGCGAAAAACAATATCTAATAGCACTAACGAGTCAAAACTTTTAAATTAAATGAATTGGAAAAATTCTTATAAAAATTTTTTTTTCAAATTTTTCTTATTTATTTCATTATTCAATACCATTTTATCACAAATAGGACAACAGCAGCAATCTCAATCTGCTCAAAATGTTAATCCAGCGCAAGAAGGATCTAAAATATTCACAGGTCTTGGTACCAATCCAGTATATGGAGGCGAGTTTAATTATAAGTTCATTCATTATTATAAAACGCTAATAAATATTTATATTTATGCGTATTTTCGTGCGAGCTAGGTGCTTGATTGCTTCAACAGAACTACTAACGTGAACCACGTTTTGCTATTTCAAAATTTTAATGAGAACTTCTATCAGAGAAAAGATTCGACTGACACACATTATTCTCTCAAAGCTTTCCAGAATTCCTTACAACATCGTTTTGAACACTCTCCATTATCTTGTTATTCTCTTAAGCATCTTTCGATTGAACTCTTCGACATCTCAGCATCTCAGTTGAGCCCTGGCATATTGTTCCCTAATATTCCACTCGCTATCCCCAACCACAAAAATGTGTTTATGAGAATATGCATGGCCATAAATCGCTCAACTTCAATCCACCGTTAGGAAGCAGTTTTTTTCAAAATTTATAAAAAAGAAATCATAAAAAATAATCGGTGCATTGAAATTGAAATCTAAACAAACTCATATACTCTCATACCTTCATTACGAAGTTCCAACATTAAGTAATCTATTCTAATAATATAAAGGAACCACAAATCTGTAGTTTAGAATCATAAATAGGTGAACAGTATCAGTCTGTTGCCTATCGCTTTTAAGATTAAAATTTATCAGAATCTATCAAAATCTATAAAATCTATCAACAAGCAGGACTATGGCTTGCCTAATTGAAGTTAAAGTTTAGAAGCTATGATCAACTAGTCTTCCCTTTTTTTCTTTGTTGCTCTTATCCTTTGTTATCCATTTCTTATTGTTGATATATCAAACTTTGTGATTGGGTCTTTTGGTGACTCTTATTCAATTCAATAATCGAAAAGAGATTAAATAATGATAGGACGTAGACAACAATTAAAACCGGTTAAACAAGAGTCATCAAAGGACAAATGAAGTAATTACAAATATCTTTAGCTTTATGGCATAGTAAGGAATAGATAAAGAAGCGAGATAAAAATCACAAGAAAAAAAAGCCAGGCTGAATTTCGTTATTTGGCTACAAATTATGTGTTAAACGATGTGTTCGAGCATCTTCAATCTATAAATTTCACTGTTTAAGAGAGTAAAAAAGATGCTTTTCCCATTCCCACGAGTAAATTCCTTTGCTGGAAATTCATTTGACCATTATTTGCTCTTATAACATAGAATTTAAACTTTTTTTTTAAGTATTTATTTAAGTATTTAATTTTTTTTTTTGCAATTTTTGCATACGTTTAATTTATATAATGCATTTTATTTAGTAAATTTGGTACCATTTGGTCCTGAAGTTGGGGATCAAAAAGTCCATCCAGGCATGTTGACAGCAGGACAAACTATTGATTTGCATATGTATTTTCCATATTATGGTGGACTATACAATTATTCCACTGTAAGTAATGGCAAAATTTTTTTTTCTAAGAACGATTTAAAATGAAAGATTTTTAAAACAAAGCATGCAATATATCCATAAACTTTTTTGGTGCTAAGCGACAATAAACCAGGACAATTGTTGCTATAATATGAAAATTGATAACTAAAAATATGACAGATTGAGCCGCATTTTTTTTTAGGTATGTAACTAGGCTTATGGCTCATTTTTTAGGTCCATAATCTTTCCCAACGATCGGCATCTTATTTTAGTTATCCATTTCATTCGCATCCTTGATTTGCTTTTTGATTTAATCGTAACTTTGATGCTTAAATAAATTTTACGAAAATATGCTTTGCTTCTTATTTTAATAGACTCACATCCTTCCTTTTCAAAATTCTCAACTATATATTGCTAAACCGTTTCTCCTGGCCGAATCATGCAGGCCTTACCCATATAAAAGAGCACCAACGTTACTGTCCTTTAGTTAATGTAACCGAATTGCTGCTAAATTTTTGACACAATGTTCAAAAAATAGGTCTTCTGGCGGGGATCAGGAATAATTTGAGAGTGTATTGAAAATGAAGGGAAGGTATTAAAAGCGTACATTTGGCAACTATCAGCAAAGTAATAAGGTTGAAAAAAAATATTCAGCGCTCGCCTTGTAATTTTATATTATTTTTGAGATAAATAATTCCTTTTTCAAATAATAATGGATAAATACATAATGCATTAAATGTGGAAAAAACCTAAAGCAATAGATAACTTCAAGCAAAGCAATAATTTTTAGTTATCAGTAAATGGCTATATAGCATTTGCAACAGTTCTCGACCAAGGACCAACAATAAATGTCGGCGTTGATAGTACCGATTGGCCGAAACAGCAGGACCCGGCAATGATTGCACCTTATTTATGTAAACAGCAGGTATTCTCATGAATCATATCATAGAAATTGTAGACTTATTTTATTACCTTGAAATTTTATTATTCATGAAAATTAGATCGCTCAAAATCCAAGTCCCGGAATGCGAACGGGAGTTTATTATCGACTAATTCTTCGTCAATCATTATTTGGTCGTGGCTCAGGTAGTAATTTGAATTTTGGTGGAACAATGCAACAATCATCATTTTTCGGTCAATCGGCAAGCCAGGCTTGTTTTCATTAATAAATCTTTTCTATTTCCGGTTTTGCAAGAGCTTCTTGATTAATATCCGCGATAACATTAATCTATTATCACTCTTGGGAAAAACGGTCGAAAAGGGGAAATGATCGCAGACTACAGAATCGCACTATGAATCTTCAAAATCTGCTAAGCTTTTGTTCATCCTAAATTTCGTCTTCTTTCTTTTTCTTTAATATCCATCTAGCAAAGCCTACCAAAATTGGAGGAGACTTCGCTTCCAGTTTCATAATTTTTCTGATGACACCTTTATAATCATTTATAATCCTTAGTTGTACCTTGAAATTGTAGTATGCACACTGCTAATATTTCGAGGCCTCTCTAAAAATTCGTTTATAATAATTTATTATATTTTCCTAATGCTCACCACCATTTGAGAAATTGCAAAACGAAATGACGAAATAGGTTGTTGCTTATTTTTGAGCGACAATCGATCTGATGCTCTGAGGTTCTCCTTGTAGGAATAAACCCATCCAAAAATCTGGGTGATGCTGACGATTTGTGCGTTTTATCTGCATTTTTATCGCCAAGGGACTCGCTAATATATCTGCCTAGCGCGATTAGCCAGAGAGGCGAACCAGTAATAATAAGGTAAAGAAAGGAAGCATTTATAAGTTGGAACTCGATCATCACCGCATTGCTCGAGTTTGAGACAATTCTTATATGGCTTATAAAAAAAAGCGTTTTAGGCATGTCCAAGCACGTCGGATTCATATGTACGTTGTGATCAGACAAGTGATTTTTTTTTGGATGAAATGATGCGTTGGTTGCAAGGTTAGTTAGCTAGTTAGTTTAAGTCAACATTTTTCAATAATTTGGCTAATAACAAATTTTGCAAAAAAATTTTTTTTATTTGCTTTTCTCACTAGTTTTTCAACAATTCCTACTGAATTTTTGTTTAAACTTCAATTTTTTCAATTTTTTTTTTGAATATCTATTCTTCTTTTTTAAAATTTACTGTAACGGATGGTACTTTCATTTCAATGTTCCTCCTTTTTTGGTTTGAGCTTCTCTTAGGGTCTCTTCGTGTATACGCTATTTTTTATTCTGACTTCTTTTATTTTCTCTTTATTCGCCATAATATTTATTAATCAACAATAATAGTTGCAATTATAAATTTGAAGCTATAAAAGATAAAAAAAACGGTGGTATTCAGGGAGATTTATGCGAAAAGCATTATTTTCCGCTTAGCTATCTTCGTAATGGTCACAAATTTTTCGTCATGAAAAAATAAAATAAAAAAAATCATAAATTGGTTTTTTAGAAGGTGTTGCGGGTGCTGCAGCATTTCGCGCTGATGCTGCATTAGTCGTTACATGGTATAATACGGCTTCTGCAGTTTCTGGTAGATCGGATATCGATGCTGGCCAACTAGCTACATATCAAGTGATATGGTTAACCGATCAGGTATCAAATCAATTCTTTAATGAAATTATATTTAATTATATTAAATTATATTTAAATTTTTCACTAAAATTCTTTTCTTGTAGCCCGGTCGACTTAGTTATGTTATTTTGAATTATGACAAACTTGGATTTGATGCAGCAGATTTTCGTGCAAATTCGCGAAGTGGTCGTTGTCAGGTATATCTATCGATTTTGATAAAATTTTGATTTTTTTTTAAAATCTTCTTCCAAATAATAATTGATACTTTTCCCAAAAAAAAAATGAATGATAAGAAATATTTAATATCTCTAGCCAATTAAATTATATGATAATATTTTGATAACATTTAACATTTCTAGTTTTGCAGCTATCACTTTCCCATACTATTCTGCAACTACTAACTTTATTTTTATACTATTTAACTTCATTTATATAAATATAATTTTTATTTAAACAAAGCAAATTTAGTTAAGCGAATTTCTCTGAAATCAATTTTAAGGCACTTTTCAACGGTGGTAATCATACGGGTACAGTCCCAGTTGATCCGTCTTTCATGTATAAAAATACGCCAAAAGTGTTGGCTCAGCGGTCTGGAGTTCCACATATGGTTAGAGGACGATATATGTTCCGAGTAGATGATGTTGTTCGACCAGCCGGCTGTTCAAACAAAACAGGAGGAACATGTATTTTTTTGCCATAATTTTTTTGAATATATTTTTATTTCAATTTTTGCAAAACTGTTTAATTTATTAACAGCAAAATTTATGAAAGTTTAAAAATATTTATAGTTCCAATGCTAATTTATCCGAATATTGTAAATATGTTGGGCGAGATGAGTGTCGACGTGAATGCAATATGCTTGGATCGAGCTCAGACGTATATTCTCATGATTGAACAACGCCAAACAGCATCATGTGTTGTATTGAATCCAGCAATCGCTCGTTGTCACCTTCCAAAAATATATGATTGGGGAACGAAAACAGTTTATTTTCAACCTCAAAGCGGTGGTGCGAATGATGAGAAGGCCTTTGTTGGTTATATTTATTTCGGTAAATTTATTCGTCATTAATGGAAAGATTATTGAAAAATCCTCTATATTTTATCCATAAATTTTTTATTATTAACTAATGGATAAAAAAAAACCCATCAATTTCTTCTTATATTTCCCTAACCGATCAGTTTGCAATTTTTAAAAAATTTACTGCATAAATCGCACGTCTATAAACTGTATACTGAAAATATTCTCAGTTCCGCCCACGTTGGATCCAATGCGATTAGATATTGGAAATATATACGATTGGTTTAAAAATCCAATACAATATCAGGTGATTTTTTCTTTAAATAAATTGAAACTATCATTGAAAATGTCAACGCTAGAAATTTTCGTTATATTAAACAATATTAGTGATAATAATGCTTAAATTCATAGGTAATGCCTATTTCATGGTACCCTCGAAATTTCACTAATCCTAATCTAAATATAATGGATCAGAATTTCCGGATTAGTGATGATACTATTTATGGTGTTGAATTAGGATTATATGTGATTGGATATAAAGAATCTTTGGATGATAAGGTGATTTTTTTATTATTCAAATGAACGAGATCATTTTGGCACTAATTCCTTATCATTCTTTTAACAATGGTACCGAAATATAAAATAATATAAAATAGTAAATAAATATTACTTAGTATTATTTCTACAGTTCTTATCATCTTCTTAAGGTTTTATTTTTGAGATAAAAAAATTCCGACCAGAGCATCGCACTTTGTGCCGACTTGCTAGATATTCGAATCGTAATGCAATGGAATATAGGTGGAAACCGCAAGAAGAACAAATTAATATTTATCAAGTGAAATTATTACCTTATTAATATGCTAAAATATGCTAAAATTTATTAAATTATAACTTTTATAAATTATTATAAATTATAAATTATTAAATTAAATTATAATCATATTTTTAAATTTAAAATTTTCAAATTCAAATTTATAATTTAGATTTTTTTTTCAAAACTTTTCGTTATTTAGAATATTACGATAGAAAATATATTAAACTTTTTATTCCTAAAATCGGACTCAATCTTTAAAAATTTTCTATTAGTAATATATTTGCAATAATAGCGAGTTTTTGGTAAAAATAAATTTTTTTTAAAAGATGGATTTTCTTAAAAAAACACTTATATCACTTCTTGTTCACTTAAATACACCAATCCTTACCGGTCCTAATCATTTTTTACTAGTCCAACTAAAACCAGGACTATTTCATCATTTGGTGGTTCTAGAAAGTAATAGGCAGGTCTCCAGCACTACTCGATAAAAGATGCATGCAGCTGCAAATATTTTATGTTCTCATTTTGAGAAAAATTTTCTCAAAGCTTAAAAATATTTCTGCAACATTCCCACAAATTAATGATAATTTTACGACAGTGATACTGTCAAAATAGATTTCTTAGTTTTTTATTTGTTAATTTTTATGTTATACGCAAAATCAGCCATGATTACATGCAGCTTCTTTTTTTATGAATGTGAATTCATTCAAAAAATATAAAAATTTTCAAGGTTGAACGATGGTATTTAAATGATTGGGAGAAAATGAACGATCTTTTCACATTTCGTTTCGGTTATTTAAAATTAGCACCACTGAAGCCAAATGATGATAGCGGAATCGATCTTCCTTCAGGGTAAATAAAGTTTCTTCCTTTTGGTTCATTCAATTTAAATTTTCATTATATTTATTATTTATTCAAATTTATTAATATTATTAATATAATATTTATTATTTACAATAATTTATTATTTATTTATTACAAAATTTATTGTTAATTTATTATTATTAAATTGAATTAAATTATTCATTAATATTGTTGATTTCTTAAAGTTTTCATTTGATTTTCTTATTTTATTTTCGAATCAAAACTGAAATACAAAAATGAAGAAAAATTAAAAATAAAAAATGAAAAATGAAAAAATAAAATGAAAATGAAAAATAAAATGAAAAAAAATGAAATATGAAAAACGAAATTTAGACTCGTATCTGCACCAATATCTCTTCATTGGTTATGGACTATAAATAATCCACAATTTTCGACAACTACATATTCACAATTAGATGCAAATAGTCGTAAAGAATTCGTTCGTAAGAAATCTCTTCAAATGTGCCATGATTGGTACTATTTTTTTGTAAAATTTTTCTAGGATTTTTTTTAAATTTTAAAATTTAGTTCGTAATCCAATCCAATAAAATAAGAATTTTTCTGGTTTATTTTCCGATTTATTATAAATTGGAATTAGGTATGACGAGGATGGAGCGCAGTGGAATTTCATTCGCGATACTGAGACTAACGCTTCTTGCCCATGTGTTGAGAGTCAAGCGAAAATGGATCTTGGACGATTCATGCCTCATCCAAGATGCTCACAGGTTATTCAAAATAGTGTTTTTTGGATTTTTTTTTTAATAATATTTTTCTATTTTGTATTCTTTGTACTGAAAAAAAAATTAGAATACCCGAGCAAAATATTAAAGATTATTAGTGAAAAAGCCTAATTTTTAGATTTTAATTTATACGACGATTATTCAACCATCTTTAAATTTCTAATAAATATATTGCAGGTGTTCAGAGATATCACTTGCACCTCAATGATTGGTGCAAAGAATTGTTATATGTCAGCGCAAAATATTTATGGATCATATGCTGGTGATGGATATCAAACACAGTCAAGCGAACAGACTGCGTAATTAAATAATTTTTTATTGATAGAAATTTCATCTGTAAATTATACATACATAATTATACATAATTTTGTATGGTTTCGTAACGAAAGGCTTTATTTTCTTGAAAAATCAGTGGTTTTTTTTAGATTCTTGGTTTTTTCTTATATAATTTCAGAAGAAAATATTTCTAAGCACTTATTTGAAAGGGAAATTTTAGGCGATTTCCTACTCATTATGGGCAAGTATGTTGTTATGATAAAGAAGGTAAATTAATGCAGACAAGTTATCAGCCAGTCGTCAAAATAATCGATGAAACCCCATATAATCCTGGATATCCACTGCGTGCTTATGAATTCGGAACACATCCATATATGGGGCAGTTTGAGGTTTTTTTTAAGAACTTTTTAAAATCGCCCCTATAAACCTCATTTATTCTCTGTTATTATTATTAATAAGCTTAATTCTTAATAAGCTTACGAAAATTTTCGCATTAAGGTACCTGGTTTGTCCGCATTTCATCATGATTACATGCCATATTTCCTTTGCTGTAAATTTGCTGAATTTCGCTGCCAACTTTTCTACTGGAGACGGCCGAGTAGCGGTTGCCAGCAATATCAGCCACCTGCAGTTGGTAAGTTTTTTTTTTTTTTTTGCATAATCTTATTTTAATAAAATTTATTCGAAATATTTGTTGTTTTTGAGAGTAAGCAACGATTTGTGCTCAGTTCTGTTGCTTAGATGATTCATGAAAAGTAAATTCTTGTAAGGATTTTTGTAAATGGACATAACGATTCTGGTCTATTGTAGGTCATTCAATGGGTGCAGGATCATTTAATACAATTGATAATGAAAAATTCGTATTCAATGAACCAGGTGTTTATACTTTACTATATATACCAAAAACATTGATGAATCCAGAAGTTAGGATTCAAGTTCGGTTGGAACGTTATCCGAATCGTAAAATTGATTTCAGTAAGCATTATTTTTTTCACATTCACTCGTTTTCAAATTCTTATTTTTCATTTATTACCTTCTAAACAATTGAAAACTGAATTTAGCCATGTATTCATAATTAAATTTTGTATTTTAAGGTTTACTTGGACGTTATATTGGGCAAGCCGATCTAGTTCAGCCAACTAATGCAACCGTAATTACTGGTATTGTTATTGAGGCGACGGGTACGGATCGAGTTCACGTTTTAGCTCGAAAAGACACTCGCAGATTTCGTTATCGCACAAGTGTTATTGTTGGTAATATTCTGCGATATTTTGATACAATGCGACTTCAAAGATTTAAAGGTGTTTTTTATCTCGTATAAGTAAATTTATAAATGTTTTTTGAATTTATAGAAATGATAATTAAAAAAAAGTTTTTTGTCTTTTTTTGTCTCAAAATAATATTTAAAATGTTGAAAAAAAACTAAAAAAAACGAAAAAATCTATTTAGGTTCATTCGAATTAATATTTTTGTATCAAATTTATGTTAAATTTATAGTAAATTTATGGTAAATTTTATAATCGTATAGAAATGAAATATTCATCGCCATTAAAATATCAAAATTTATTTATAATATTCGATAATTATAGGTGTTCTCGTATATGTGAATAATGTTGAGCGAGGCCAACCAGAAGTTTACGTTGTTCTTGAAGAAGCACAAATAGGAGTTCGAATCCGCGAATCTTATTCAGTTGATATAGATCGCTTGCCTATGTATCAAGAAAGCATGGGAATGCTAGATATCGCTCTTAGCGTTCCTCCACAATATGGCGTTGTAAATAAATTAATTATTGCTAGTAAATATATTAAAGGTGAATGACAATTGGCGATGCTGGGCTGCTAATTCCCCGCACAAATGAACCTACCCAAAAATCCTGGTGATCCTAGCGATTCTTGCACCTCTATAGCCAAGGAGCATATTTGCCAATAAGCCTAACACATTTATCTAGTACAAAAGCGAGTCCAACCAGTGATGATGAGGGTTTCAATTTAAAAAAAACTATTATGATTGAAGCGAAAATTTTTAGCGCCCAGATGGAGATAGAACTCGTGAACAGGTATTACGGCAACGTTTCAATCTTCCACGCGTTTCTGGTTTAATGCGACCCTTCCCTGATCAATCATCAGCATCATTCTTAAGCGGACTCACTATTAACGATGTTAATTCTGAAACCTATCGTCAACAAATAATTAACAATTGTAATTTTTCCCTCTTAATATAATTATCTTAGAAATATTTCAATAGAGGCTTTGAATTTATTTATAAATTATTTATTATAAAAATCATTATCGAATTATTCATTTTATTTTTTCATATAAATAAAAAACCAAAATGAAAATATCTAAATGGAGATTGAAAATTCGTTCTTTAGATCGAATTCCGGGTAGCGGTGAACCGGGTTCTGATCAAAACGTTGCTGGTGTACTTCAATGGAATATTCCATCAGACAATATGTTCACAACAAGTCGTGAAGAGGATAAAAAATTCGAAGTATTTCCTGAGGCATCAATGAAAAGCGGTCCTATTTTTAAAACTGCAGAAGAATATGAAACGTATGTTCTCTTTAAAAATAACACAAAAACTGTTTTAAAAAAATTCCCCGAAAAGATTTTGAAAAATTATTGAAATAAAATATTTCGTTCCCTTATTGGGAATTTTTATTTGTTCCGTAACATGATGACTATTTTGGAATTTAAAATTTTCATTATCGAATAGTTTCAATAAATGCGATTAATTGAAAAAAAAAAAGTTTCGATATTTATTTACTAAAAATATTTAAAATCATTAATGATATTCGTAAATCAACAAATGATAAAACTGATCTCTAATTTTACTTTACTTCTTTTGTTTTCATTTTCATTTCATTTTTCAGAACAAATGAAGAGGAAAAATCTATAAATAAATTGAATTAAATGAATTTTAAATTGAATATTGAAGAATCAAAATAAATCATAAATTTTATCATAATATAATTCGAAATATTTGGTTAATTTAAATAAAAATGCAATAAATAAATAAATAAAATAAATGATAAATGTTGACTTGGCTTATTAAAAATAATCAAATCAAAAATCAAAAATCTATATAAAACTTTTTCTCAATCCCTATGGGTGATGATGATCATTCTCAATTTTTTCCGGTCCTCAACAAGAGACCTGGTTTTGCTCAATGCCTTAGCTTTTCCTAATACTATGTTTTTTTGAATAGATGTCTTTGATGCTGTTCCTGGAATCTGCTGAAGCCACTTTTCTAGTTTGAAGGTCCAAGATGCACTCATAGCTTCGGAGGAAATCCTTCATTTTCCATAACCACGTATATTTTTAATTCTATAGTATATCAAATAATATTTAGTGGTCCCTATCGTTTTGTTCCTCGAACTGGTCAAATGCTTAATCAGTTATTGCAAACATGTCGTGATCTTCAACGAAATAAACAAAGTTCACTTGATTTTAGAATCATTTGAAAATCTTTCCTAAAGAAAATTTGTTTCATAATTTTTCATTATAAATTTTCTTTTTCTTTGCTATATTTTTCGTTTTTATTTTATTATTTATTTTTTTCATTATTTTTTTATTTTTATAAATTTTAAATTTTCTTTTATAAGAATCAATTAACGAAAAGACTTGGCTGATGTAATAAATTTGCATTAAATTTGATCATTTTAAGCCGATCTTCAACCACTACAAAGTAGTTTAACTGAACGATTTGGAATGACTCAATGTCCAGATAATCCGAGTCAAATTATACAGGAATGTGGTGATAGTGTTCCATGTTTATATGACTATACGATGCTTAACGCTAGAATTCTTGGAATGGAAATACAAAACTCGTGGAATGCTTTTATATATGAAAGATTGGAAGCAACTCGCCACTGTAAAATTTTTATCCTAAAAATTTGTGTGTCTCTATGGGTCCTCTCATTAACATCAACTAATAATAACAAACAAAATGATTTAAATTTTGTTTTAAGTTCATTTTTATTGCATGCCTAAATTTACTAAATTTTGTCCTGTGTGCTGATATGATAACGAATGGTGCTTATATCTGAATAATAACATATAGCCAATTGAATATTGCACATGTTGGCCTAATGCACCTACTCTCATCATGTTCAGAATATTATACACTGTCTAACTTTGACTACGACTTCTTTTTTTCAAAAGACAGCGCGTTCTTCTAAACTTTTCCAGTTAAAGGGATATACTTTTTTTTACCTATTTTAGTCTACTTTAAGCCCAAGCAAGTGATCAAATCAGGGGATAAAAAATGATCGCAAGGATTTCTAAAGTTTTCTTTTCTTTCAAATGAAAATTTACAAAATTAGACATTGCAATTTCTGTTAAGCTAATTTTTGTGGAAAAATTTAATTAATTATTTTATTGAAATTGCTATGAATCTCAAAAAAATGGCTTTTAAAGAATGCAAGCAACGTCATTCCTCGTTAATATTTTAGAAGAAAATTCTCCGAAAATTATCACTCAAGTTCAACTACGCAAATAAAGAATTAATGCACCAACTATTCTATTCTATAAGGCTATTCTATAAAAGGTCAATAAGCGAAGGATGAAGCTGGATTAATGTCAATAAACGAAGGATGAAGCTGGATTAATATCTGCAATTGAACTTCTCTCATCAAAAACCTTATCCATTTCAATCCATGTGCATAGATGATGATTTGGGCTGAGTAAATGCATTATGTGTGTGCTAATCAATTTGCATAGTTAATTTTCACATTGCTAATAAAAATATATTTATAGATAATAGCTGTGGACCAATAAATATTGAATATCCGGAATATTTGATGAAGACGCCATCATTATCATCAGGATATATGGAAGGCGATGTGGCACGATTTGATTGCTTTCAAACACACTGGATTAAAGGCGACAACGAATATAAATGTGATCCTAAAACTATATTAATGCCATTTAATACTGTTATTATCGTATTTAAGAAAACTTAAAATAATGATATGAAAGAAGGAAAAAAAAAAATTTAGGCAGTCTTGTTGTGGATTATAATAATCCGAGTAACTATCGATTCGAATGGAATAAAGGATCACAGCCTTGGTGCCGTTCTCGTGAAAAAGATAATCTATTTAAATGGCTTACAGCAATTTTCTCTACGACAGCTATTATAATGGTTGGATTTGTTCTTTTATATTTGTTTAGTTATGCGATTCTTATATGAAATCTCGTAAATAATAACCTAGAAATTACCAAATAATTCCAAGTTTTAGGCTATTATTATGGTGTTTTTATGTTTTTGGTGCGTGAAACAAAAGCGAATTAAAGATGCTGAGGAACGTGGATCGTCAGTTTATAAAGCACCAATTCGTGGTCCAGTGGTATAGTTTTTATTTTCTTTTCAGTGCTCCTATTTCGTGAGCACTTTATGCTGTTAAATTAACAATTAAATTAACAATTATCATTTCGTTATCACATTAACGAAACGTTTCAAATTTAAAACTTTTAATAAAGTACCATTCTTATATTCTTTCATTTTCTAAAAATTGGTTAATTGGTTTCTTTAAAGAATACATTTTTTTTTTCTTTACAGCCATATTCAAAAGCAAGAACTGATTCGTTATCAAGTCTCACCGAGCCTCCTCGAGACAGCGTGACCAAGATGACTGGTCGTCCTTCAACACCACTTCGAACAATATTATCTCCTAAGTAACAAATCTTTTTTTTGGTACCATTGATTTATATTACAATGAAAAGAGAAATTAGAGTGGCTCAGTATATTTTTGCTCAATTTGAGTTACCCGATGATTCGGGTGATGCTGGCGACTCGCCTGTATTTCTGCCGTCTAGGAATTTTGTAATATATTTATCTAATGCGACAAGCTAGCCGAGCGAGTGGCAACAATAATGGCCAGTGTGTTAAAAAAGAAAGGAGGGAAATATACCATATAATGGCACTTATTAATTTTATGATAAATTCTTATTTTGAATTATTTTTTATTTTTAGAAATTTCGCTATTTATTTTATTGTATAATAGTTAATTGTTGAAGTAAGATTTAGAAGTGGTAAAGATGAATATCGTGTATCGCCATCACGATCATCAACACCAACAGTTCGATCTCGTCCTAATGCACAACAACAAGCATCATCACAGCTACTTGGCTTAAATACCAGCGTTTAATGCACAAAATTTCCATGCAATCCCTCGCACTTCACTTTTCACTAATACACATATAAATTTCACTATCATTAGTAGCATTACCGTATGAAATTCATAATGAATTGATTTTTTTTATCAGTTTAATAAAAAAATTCGTACAATTTATAATCATAACGTTTTTTTTTTCAAATGCATATCAGTGATAATTTTTAATTTTTATGTATTTATTGCTATTTTTTAAATAACTCTCTTGCATTTTTAATTTTTGCATTTTTTTTGTCGCCTATTTTATTTAAAAAACAATTTTGCAACAGGCAATTTTTTTAGACAAATTAAAATGAAAGAAAAGCTAAATAATTATTCAAAATTTTGTTTTTATCATTTTAATAATATTATTTGTCGTTTTTCATAAAGAGGATTTCGAAATTGGAAAATAAATGGGACGTAAAGCTTAAAATATTTCTAAGAGAGACAAATGACAAAATAGTTTCTTGTTCATATTTAAGTGGCTGGTTATGATTAACGATTTGAACTCGTTTGATATAATAAATAATGTTTATGTTTATATCGATGCGCAAAAATTTTATCACTGCCACCTATTTTATCACCTATTAAATCACTATTTCAACTACCATAATTATTTTCAACTACCTGATTTTCGATTTCATTATTTATGATGTTCAGTTGAATTGTTTAATTTTATGAATTTTTGATTTTTTTTTTTAAATCATGTTAACCTGCTTGTATGATAAATAAATAACTCAGAGATGTATTTATTGTACAGTTCGTTTCATTTTTTCGTGAAATTCTAAAAAGTTTTTTTCAATGATAAATAAAAATTTTCCAAATAATTATTGGTATAACTGAGTATTTTTAAGAATAAAATATATGTAAAATGAAATAAAAAGTAAAATTAAATAAAAATTTTATGATATAATAAGAAATTAAATAAAAAATAAAATATAAAAAATGAGCGTGGCAATTAGAATTGGTGAATTAGAAAATGTTTTATTGCTGTGATAATTTCTCGAATTTCTCGAATAGATTTTTAGATTTTTTTTCATTTTAATGAAAAAAACAAAAAAGAAATTAATTTAATGGTTATTTGTTGTATTAATGTAATAAACGCCTAAATATTTCAAATATCGCATGGACGTCAAAATCAAGCAAAATTTAACAAATAAATCATCAAATTTATATGTAATAATTAAGTGGGATGTCTGTTTCAGTGAGTTATTGGTTTTATTCTATAATTGCAATCCAGAGGATGTTCTATTTTCAACATAAGCAGACCTATCTTTCAAAAAATCCAGACGAACGACTCACCTATGTTTTCCTCTCTAAGCCTCGAAATCCCTAGCAAAAAAATTCCGTCTAGCCTAATAAGCTAAATGAAATGAAATCAAACTAAAAAATAAATGTTTTTGAATATTTTTAAAAAATTTAAATGAAAATAATTCAAAAACTCATTCATATGAAATCCAAATGAATTTAATAATTCATATTGCTTGCTATCGCTATTTTTAATTTGTTGAAAAACAAAAATCGCATGGAATTCAGTTGAATGAATCGAATTTTAATTTTTAATTTTTTATAGAATAAATTTTAATTTCGGCAAAATACATATATATATATATATACAATGATATTTTCTGAAGATCAATATTTAAATATATATATTAAAAAATTGATATTGAAATTGAAACGAATAATAAAAATTGCATTTTCCTCACTCATTCTCGGCATTACTACACTAGTTTCCTCTCAAAACTCCTTTAATATTTTTTTATCCAGTAAATGCCGAATTCTCAATATGCTAATTAAACACCTTCCATTTATACTCTCTATATATCGCTAATTGTCATTATATTTCATTCATCATCATCTTTCCATTATTAATTTTCTATGGACAAACATAAGCCAATATAATCTAATTTATTATGGACAAGCATAAGCCATTATAATCTTGAGAATTGTATTTACTACTTTATATATATATATATATATATATATACATAATATTGCAAATAAACTGGAAAAAGATCGTTAGCGATTAGAGGTAGGAAAAATAGAAAGTGAAAATCAAAAAATTCTAATAATATTATCATGCGATAGGTGCAAGTAAGGAGAGGTTTAACGATAAAGGCAAATAATAAGATAGATTTTAAGAAAATGGTACTAATAGACTATGAAAAAATTGAAATAAAAATAGATGGGAGAACAAATAATGAAGCGGGAAAGCGAGAATTCAAAAATGGTTTGAAACATTTTTTTACTAGAGAAATAGAATAGAACCATCAGACTTGTGAGAGATATGGAAAAACTAGCAAATAATAACGTCAGTGTGAGACTTCCTAATATTCCTAATCTTGAATTCTAAGTACAAACTATATCTGGTTTGGATAAGAATGGCTGGCTGTATTGGTGATGTTTTTGATAAGTAAGGAAGAAACGAGGTCGGAAGATATGTCTCTAATCATATGGAATCCTGCTTGAATGCAAGTTGTGATTCGCCGCATTATGAAAATTATGAAAGAAAATTTTCTTGGCGACTTGGTCAATGAAATGAAATCTTTGTTAATTCACTATTTCAGCTTTATTTTGTACAATTTATCAGCAAAAAGATAAGAGAATTTTCGCATAATATCGATTCTCAACAAGGATTAAATTAATCTCTTGTTTAAAATATTAAATTATAATATTAAAAATGTAGTTTAGATTTTTTTGCAAAACCTCTACAATAAATTATTATAAATATTATTAATTTTGGATCTATCGCTTCTAATTAGGTAAAAGTAAAGAAATTTTTGCAATAAAATAGGATGAAAAAAATATTAATTGAAAATTCTCATAATTTTAGCAAATTATAAGAGTAATAGACCAACAAAAAAAAAAAATTAATAAAGAAAATAAAATAAATAATTTACGAAAAAAACGAAAAATAAAGAAGTGCAAAATCTTTAAAATCTTTAATTATATAAGATTCAGAAGAATAAAATTAAAAGAATTAAATTATTAAGAATTATCATAGAATTAAATTTATAATTATAACAATAAAAAATCCATTGTAGAACAATTTATCCTATTCCTTTACCCTCCAAAAGTGGCTCTTTAGTGCGATAGTTTTATTAACTATCAGCATCAACTGATAAGATATAGCCATAACTGATAAGTTATAAAACATGTTAAATATCTTATTAGAAGAATATTAAATATTAAGAATATTATTAAATATTAGAAGAACTGAAAATAATAAATTTTGACTCCAATAAGCTTGATAAATGATAAATTTTAGCTGTGATTAATTTCAACAATGCGTAGATAAATCTTTTTCGCTTTTTGAAAAATGATTTTTTTAACGATGAAAATTTTATGAATTAACTTTTTATTAAAATTTCTATATTCTCATTGGTATACTGATATATAAATATATTTCAACCTTAGGCAGTTATGTATTGATTTTGGTGAAGTCGACGCGTTTATTCTCTTCAATTCTTCCATTCTTATTTCTACTAACCAAATAAATGTTGTTGTCTATTGCAATTTTATTTCATTTATCTTTTTTTTGCCTTTAGGATTTATTTAAAAAAATTAAAATTCTTTAAAAAATTCGCAAAAAAACCCAAAATTTTAAAAAAATCACTTTTAATTAAAAAATCATTTTTATTTCAATTTTATTATATTTCTTTTATTTCTTTTTTCATTTAAAAATTTAATCGAATTTTAATTTTCCAAATTTTTTCAGTAGTTGGAAATTTTTTTTTTTAAATTTCAATTTTAAAAGAAGTTTTGATTCTATAAAAATATAATTTTTATTTAACAATTGACAATATATCGTTTCATTTTCTTTTCGAATGCATTTTATATATTTTCGAATTCCATCAAAAATTCGTCTTTTTCAATATAAATGAACAATTAATTGGTTGAAATATTTCAATTAAAAATACTAAGTTAAACAAAAATAATATAAAAAATAAATAAAAAACCAATTTGAATATGGAAAGTTTCTTTGCTTTGCTAAGTGCTTCGAGCTATTTAAAATGTTAAAAATGCTTTTACATTCATTATTTTGCTTTATAAATTGATAAATTTTATGAATAAAACTTCAATTTGATCAAAAAAATTTTATATTCAATAATTTTTTTTCACATTTAAATATTAGATATTTTAAAAAATTTGTTTCAATAAAGTTCAATAAAGTGAACATTCCGTTAATATTATGCAAACGTCTTCATATTTTATCTTTTTTCGTTCGTCGCACTTAGAAATATTACTTTTTACTTATATCATTAAAATCAAATAACATAAAATGGATTTCATTTTAAATGATAGGTTTATTCTCGATTAAGCACATATAAATGGTAAAATGATAAGTAATGATTTTTATCATTTTAATCGAGAAATATTATCAGCATATGTCACTTAAAATTAATTTTTTGTATTTTTATATTAAAGGCTTGCAAAAATTTATATTTTTTATATTAAAGGCTAATTGGAGAAATTGGAAAATTATTTAATATAAGAATATAATTATATTCTTAACAATTATAAGACGCAGTTTATATAATGCCTTATATAATGCTTTTCTTTTTTCTTCATGTTTTAATAGCTCTTATCATTATGGTTAAGCTGGTTTTACTGGCTACGAGGATAAGGCGTCTCTAAGCTATTTGGTGCGACGCTATCGCTAACAGTAATAGAATCCATTCCATTTTCCACCATATATCACTGGCCCTATATATTTAAAATTTCTAGAAATTATTCAGTTGTTCAAGGGCAATAATAATTTAAACTTTCAAAAATTTAATTAATAATTTTAATTAATTATTAATTTAATTAATAATTTACAATTTTATAGTATTTTTTTTTAAAAATTTTATTTTTATTTAATTATTTCATAAAAAAAATTTTTTCTGAATTGTGTTATTGCGAATTCTTAGGATTCTTCAAATTTCTTCACTTATTTCTTTTTAAATATTTCAATTACCCATTATATAAATTATATAAGTTATCCATTATTATTATAACTAATAATTATAATTATAAACTGCTTAAATTTTATTTTTTAAATATAATTATGCATTAATTCTTTAATTATATATATTTTTATTTTTTTAAATTTTTATAATATGAATTTTTTAATGGAAAAGCTATTTTCTTCTGACAATTTATCAACTTTAAAAATTACGCTAATTTTTCGAGTCGAGAAATCTTTTTGCTAAAAAATCTATAGAATGACTCAGTGGATTGCTGAAAGCGCCAATGTTGAGATTCTAATCCTCACAGGCGTAAACCTGTCCAAAAACCTGGGTGATGCTTGCGAATCATGCGTATTTCTATTGCCAAGCAACTTCTTGGCATATTCCTCTAATGTGATAAGTCAGTGGAGTGAGTCTAACCATAATAATAAGGGCTGTTTAAAAAAAAAGTTTTCGCAAATATTTGAGTTTCATTTTTAAATAAAGATATGAATCGATCCGAAAGCCATATCAGAAATTACTTCCAATGTATTCTATTGTGTGTCGATTTCTTTTTTAAAATTTCTTATCTTTAACAATTCTTTCAGCCAACATGTTTTTTAGCTTATCAATTTGATAATATATCATTCAATATGTTTAAATAAAAGCGATAATTTTAAACGATATGCATTCATGCGGAATTAATTTGTTTTTGCATATATTATTTATTGCCTTTAAATGATACTTTAAATTTCTTTCTTTTTTCTTATGTTTCTCGATTAGTTTCAGGAATAAATCGCTTTTTATTTATAAATAAAAATATCGATAATAAAGGAAATCAATAAAATTTAAAAATTTATATTTTTATTAATATTATATTTATTATTATTATAAATATAAATAAAAGAAATGCTTGGCGCCTCGTCGAGTAGTAGTGAAGAAGGTGATGATGAACAGTTTGCTAACGATTTTGAAGAAATAAGTGATGTTCGTTTAATTCTTTTCTTTATTTTTCTATTATTCTTAATTGATATTTAATAAAATATCATTAAAAATTATTTTTTAATTAAAAATATTTTTTTTAATCTCTAAGGTTTTAAAAATAATAATTCATTGAAGATTTAATATTATTTTTTATATTATTTAATCTATTATTTTTATTAATATTAATAATATTATTAATATTGTTATATTATTATTTTAAACATTATTATTTATTGTTAAAAATTTTTTTAATACACTTTTACTAATTTTATTATTGCACAAAAAATAAAAATAATTTTTTTAGGCAATATCATTGGCAAAACGAAGCGAAAAGAATCGTCTAACACAAATTTCGTCGTCCTCAACTATAGCACCATTTCGTTCATATTCACCAGCGCCATCCGAATCAGCGTCTCAAGCAAATTCATTGCATCAGCTTGATTTTATGAATAAACGACGAAGTGATTCGATAACCTCGTCTTCTCATCAATTACCTTTTAAAATGGTTTTTATGAAAAATTTCCGTATTTAATAAAATTTTAATACATTTTTGTAATTCATAAATTTAAATAAATTTATATCATAAATCATAAATTTTACTTAATTTTAATTTATTAAACTGGAAACTTGAACTCAGTGTGCCCGGTTGAAATTGTCTTGTCATGGATGTCGTTGCAATTGCACCATCTTATCAGTCGACTTCCTAAACTTTATTGAGTTTGCAAAATAAGCTTGCCAAAGATATTTTGTTGTAGCCGAGGTGAAGATTGCTGTGCCTTACTTTTAGTTCAGAGAAATTCTTTTAGCTATAGGAAAAATTTATAGCTAATATGCGAGTCGGTTTCTTTTATTTTTCAAGCAACATTATTTATTATTTATTTGTTAAAATATTTTTTATAATGAAAATATATAAATATTTTTGAAATTGAAAATAGATTTATATTTTTAAAAATTTTTAATATTTCTACAAATTATTTGCTAAAAAAATAATTTTTTAGATTCAACGCAAGCATTCACAGAATACTTTAAGTACTAAACCAATTTTAACACAATCCTCGCAAGAAATATCAGATGATGATTTTAATGAAGATAACGATGATGATAATTTTGATGATAATGCTACTGATGATTATACATCAAATGATCATAGTACGCCAGCACATATTCCTGCTGAAACAACTGCAAAATTTAGTAAGGAAGAAGAAGAACGACTAAGGTAAATTTTCAAGATTTGAGCTAAAATGCGATTTTTGTGAAAATTTCTTCGTTTCATGAAAATGAGATTTTCTTGAAATCATATTATCACAAAACTTTTTCTTTTCTTTTCTTAGAGCGCGCACCATTTCCGCTCAGATTAGCTCGGTTGACTTGTCGGATTCGTTATCGAATTTTTGAAAGACCGATTCATTTATGCAAGCAGTAGAATTCCAGCACTTTAACCAGAAATGAATGCAAAAATCCGTTCTAATTGTTTGGCTCATAAAAGAAATGATAGTTTCCTTCATTTTATAACCATTTTTTAAAATACTAATTTGAAATACCAAAAGAGAAATTTTTATTTAATTCGTGGAAACTTCAAAAGGAAATATTTTTAAAAAATTTAAAAAATTTGAAAGTTTTTTTTTCAATTTTTTTAGAATTGAAGTTGAAGAAGAAGATCGAAAAAGGAAATTACAATTATATGTTTTCGTTGCAAAATGTATCGCTTATCATTTTAATGCTAAGCAACCAACCGATATGACAAGAAGACAAATGAAAGTTTGTTTTTTTTTCGCTTTTTCGAATTGAAAAATTTTATAAATATTTGCTTAATTAATCGAAATTATAGCGACAATGAGAAAAAATCATCTCGATATTTCTACTAAATATAACATTTAGTTTTTTTCTAATTTTTTTTTTGCCACAAAATATTTGAAATTAAATTTGTGCTTTTTTTGGATTCACAAACAATATTATCTCCTACAAAAACATATTATTTTATTAAAATTTAAACATATTACTAAACTAAAAATTATGAAAAAAATTAAAATTTATTACAAATATTAAATAATAATATAATAAAAATATTAAATGAATAAATAAATGAATAAATGAATAAATATTTTGGGAAGCTCCGATATGCAATACTTCAAATGAAGGATTCATTCATTTGTGCATAGATTTTAATGAAATATATTTATTATTTTTCATAAATTAATCTATAGGTAAGTAAACAAGAATTGGGAAGAATTCGAGAACGTTTTCAAATTTTTTTAAAAGGTGAAACACAAATTGTCGCCGATGAAGCATTTATTAAAGCAGTTGATTCCTATTTAGAGGTTTCAAATTTTTTTAAAATTAACAATACGACAATAAAAAATTTAAAGTGATAGTTGTTAATGATAATGATAATGATAATTGTTAAATATTTTTTAAATAAAATATTATAATTATATAAAATATTTTATAGGTGTTTTTAAAATCTGAACGTGTTCAAAAAGTCGTATTAGCTGGTGGATTCTCTCATTTCGATTTTCGCGAAGTAAGAAACAAAAATTTTGTGTTTTTTTTTTGAACTAAAATATTCATTATAAAATTTCACAAGAAAAAATATTTATTTCCAATAAAAATTTTTATTATAATAAAATAAATAAAAAAAATAGAATAAAAAACAAATAAAATAAAAAATAAATAAATAAAAATAAAATAAAATAAATTAAATTTTTTTATAGGTCTTTCGTTCAAACGTTGAAAAACGTATTAGATCATTACCGGAAATTGACGGTCTTTCAAAAGAAACAGTATTAAATAGTTGGATGACGAAATTCGATACGATTATAAGAGGCGATGAAGATGCGGTTCAAGCGCGACAATCAAGGTTAAATCGTTCGAAATTTCATTAATTTTTTTAATTTTCATTTTAAATATATATTTTAAAAATATATTTTAATAATATATATATTTCGAAAAATTTATTAACTCATTATTAACTTATTATTACCATTTATTATAAATTTTTTGTTTTTAGAAGTCGTTTACGTACTGCGAATCAAACAAATACCGATTTAACACTATTGAAAGATCAACTTTACGATGTTTTTCAACAAATTCTAAGCGTTAAAAAATTTGAACATCAAATTATATTTAATGCATTACAAGTATTTTTTATTTTTATTATTTATATGATTAAATATAAAATATGAAATATATAGTAAATATAGTAAATATAGTAATAATATAGATATAATAATATAGTAAATATGATTTATTATTTAATTTATAGTTTTATTTATAGTTTTATTATTAAAATTAATAAAAAATTTTATTTAATAAATTATATCTTCGAATTTAAAATCGCCGCTAAAATATTTTTTTTCTCATTGAAATAAGAAAAATTATTGATTTGATTTTAAATCATTGCAATGATTTATAAATTATAATATTTGATATAAATTATAATAATTGATATTGATATTTTGATATAATATTTGATATTAATATTGAGTATTTGATAAGATAAAATATAATTAAACAATTAAAAATAATAAAAATAAAATAACAAAAATAAAAAAAATAAAATTAAAAATTATTTATGGAAAGAAAACGAAAATCTTAAAAATTTTTTATCGAATAAATTTTATCGTATTCGCGTGAATAGTTGATTATTTTCGCATAAGCCTTTGATTAAAAACCTTTTTTTTTTATTATTTTTATTATTATTTTTATCCTATAAATATCATTTTCGTTTATTTATTTGAGCACTTAAATAAAAATTATTTCGGAGAGAAATTTTGTGCAGAGAGAAAAATACTATTTTCATTAATCAAACAACATTTATTCCGTTTGATATTTATTTAAAATTGCATCGATATGCAGCATACATAAATAATTTTATCGATAAAATATTTCATGCTTTTTTTGCTATTTTCATGATCATTTTTCATTAAAAAAAGCATTTAAGGATAGAAGGTTTTTTTTGCGACGAAGAATTTCCGGCAAATATTTTTTGCATAAATTTTTAAAATATATTGCGAATTTGAATTGAAAATAAATTATTATTCATTTTAATCATTTAAATAGTAATTCATTATTCGTTATTTTTCTGAAAATAATGAATTACTGAATTTTATGAAAATATTATTTTATATTTATTTAGTTGAAATAATTTAGCTAGATAATCCCGATGAACAAGCTGCAGCAATTCGTAGAGAAGTAACAACAAGAGAAGAAGCATTACGCGATATCTCAAAGGTTATATGAACGAAGAAGATGAAAATTGAATTAATTAACTGAAAAAACATATAAAAAAATAAAAAGCGATAAATATGATTTAAAAATTTCAGTTAAACAACTGAATTAAACAAATATAATCTTAAATTTTAAAAATAAATATGATACAATTTATTAATTTATAATTTATTAAATAAATAAAATAAAAAAAATTTGAAAAAAATATATTAAAAGAATAATTTAGATGAAAAAATTGATGCCGAAATTTGTTGTCAAAGATATGGAAACGTTATTTATCGATGAAACAAGGCAGTCAATAAATCTTTTAATAAGTAATCTCGAATCGGTACCAGTAACACCGCGAAGTCAAGGAATAGGTTCAAAGAAAAAGAATGCACGTGGTAGAAATAGGTGCGTCCTAATCTTTTAATATTTTTCTAAATTATATACATCTGATTTACCTTGAAAAAAAACAGTATAATTTAAAAATCGAAATGTTTCCTTATTAAAAAATTATGAATTTTAAAATTTTTTCACATATTCTTAAAAATTAAAATAAAATTGCGAGAAATTTGTTTTAAATTAAGCAAAACTTTATTTTTTTTTCATAAAAAATGCAAATAAAATTTATACGAAAAAAATTTAATTTCAGCGGTTCAACAAAAACGAAAAGGTTCGAATTAAATTTTTCTTTTTATTTTGCCAAAAATGTCGAAAGTTATTCTTTCATTTATATTTTTTTATAAATTAAAAATATTATTTTTATTTAAAATGCCTTTAAAAACGATTAATCTCATTCCATAGTTCCAATGAAATTATAAATAATTTTTAATTTCACTTTATTTTTTGGTTTATTTGTATTTCTTCATCTGACAGCTCTCGCCGTTGGTGGTTGGGCTGGTTCCGCCGGCTACGGGTGTATAAGTCAGATCCGATCTATTCGATTCGATGCCATCGCTATCAATAATAGAAAGCATTGCTTTTTCTATTGTCTAAGCATGTACATCGCTGATTTAGCTATACATTAAAAATCTTTCCTGATTGTATCAGTCAAAGTATATATATCTTAATTGGTCCATCCATGCCATCCATCATAGGACTTGGTAAATAACGAAATATATGTTGACTCTTGTGGTGCACGCAACTAGCGAAAATAATGTTCTATGATGGTGCTGCTAAAACAAGTGTTATTTGAACCATGATGGATGCAATCATGTGAAATTTTATCGACTCGACTGATCCATAAAATATATCTTAGGTATGAATGGTTAAAAGAGATAATTTCTTAACATTCTCTTCTTCTTCGATCATGCTTCACTGCTATATAATGTCATGAGCGTTGGAAGACGCAGACGCCATATTAAGAAGATCTGATCCCTCTTTCATCACTTTGGGATAATGTCACTTTGGGATGGGTTTGCAGTTGAATTCTCAGCACCCACTCGGATTTTCAACATCATAACTCTTGTCGAAGGCAAAATTGAGAAAAAAATAGCTGAAAATAAGCTTTAAAAAGAAATTCTTGTTGCACAATTGAAATTAGAAGAAAAATATTGCAAGCATAAGAAAAAAATAATATTTATAAATGAAGAATATAATCAGTGTTTCAATATTTCGTTGTTCATATAAATTATTTCGATGAATAATATAATTTCTAAAATATGATAAGTTCATGTTTTTGTACTCCTAACACTTGGTACCATCGCTGGTTAGGCTGTTTATGATGGCTGAGAAAAAAGACAAAGAGTAAGGTATTTATAAGCCTATGCCATATCTGGATACCATCCTCATCCTATCTAAGCCATATATCGCTGGTCAGCCTTTGTGATCAAAGGTTTCTTTATTAGTTATTAATCTTTTATTTGATTATTTTGGATAATTATGAGATGAAAAATATTGAAGGAAATGATTATCATTTGTATGTCAACTTCTATTTTTTTAATATTTTTAATTATAATATTTAGTATTTTTAGTATTTTTAATTATAATATTTTAATTGTATTTGCAAAAATTATTCGCAAAATTGTATTTATAAAAAAATATATTTTTATATATCTCTACAAAAATTAAATATTATATTATTTATTGAACATTAATTATTCGTTTATACAATTTAATTCAATACATTAAACATTAATAATTTTGTAAAAAAATTTTTATTTATTTTGCTTTATTTTTATCACTTTTATTTTATTTTTTTGAAGGGAATTTCATAAATTTGCTAAATTCCGTATTAATAGAATATTTAAATTTATTTGAAAAATTTGAAAAAAATTTGAAAAAATTCAATAAAATGGAGGAAAATTTTTAGATCGCGAAGTATCGAAGATTTATCACTTTTCAATAGGTTTGCTTTTTTCTAATCTTATAATTTTTTTAAATTTTTTTAAAATTTTTTTTAAAAATTATAATTTTTTAAAATTAAAAAAATTTTTTTATTTTATTTTTCCTTCATTTTCCTTCATTTTTTAGTGATTGATTAAAAAGTCTTGACATTCAGTATAAATATATATATATATATATATACACAATAATTCGCTATCTGTCGAACTATAGGTCTGTGTAAGTGTAAGAAGTATGAGAGAGAGATGAGGTGGGAGATAATATCTCTGGATTCTTTGATCCTTATAAGCATCTTTATTGCTTTTCCAGATCTTCTAACCAGGTCTATTCATTACTTTCTTAAAACTTGTTATGGATCTTAAAAATTCTTGAAATCCTATTTTTTTGCTGGTTTCTTGTCCTGTACAATTCTTTGATAGCTTCAGACTCTTTTACTTTTTTTTTTACACTCTGATTGTCCTTAAACTGCCTCAAAATCCTGTTATTGCCATAAGCAGTCTAAAACTCTTCCATTAAAAAACCACCAAAACTGTTTGGTACTGTTTGGTACTGCTTTGAGTCCAATTTTTTCAAATTTAATTTGCTATGCAACAGAATGGTAGGTGCTTGCATAAGTTAATTTGCTTTCCTTTATCATTTTTTTACAGTTTTTTGGATTTCATACTTTTGCATCTTTTTTTATTTCGTTGTATTACATTATTATATTATTCATTTTCATTTTTTTCATTTTTTTATGATATTTATTTTTTTTGCGGAAATTTCTTAGATTGTTCACTTTTATTTAGTAATTATTTGTATTGTTTTGACGAGAAAAAGAATAAATAATAAAATTTGAAAAAAATTTATTAGAGAATTATTAAGATTTTGTTCAATGAAAGAATTAAACTGAATCCACGAAAATATACCATGAAAATTGAAAATAAATTTCGTTAATCAATTTATTCAACTTTAGCCTAAAACGGAGAACGAGCTCAACTTCTTTGAATAAGGCTGATAGCGATGACGAAGTGTCGTTATCAAAAAGTGATGTTATACTTTCATTTAATATCGAGGTTATTATTTTCTGAGCGTTCTTGGCAAATTTATCAATTATGATGTTTATCAATCTATCATATTTATTAATTAATCCAAAGAAACAAATTATAATTCGAGCTATTTGAAGTACGAATCAAATCTATGGATCTCTAGCATCATTCGGATTTCGCTTTAAATGACGTGACATAGTTTATTGCACCAAAAAATCCCATGCCAGTCGACCTTAATCAAAACCATAAATCGAACTATTATATTTTAATTCGTATCCTCATATTCTCATAATTAAATTTGTACTTAATTCAAAAAAAGTGGAAAAAAAACTTTTTCAAAATTTTTCCATTTTTTTTAGGTTGTAGTCATGGAAGTACAAAATTTAAAATCATTAGCATCTAATCGAATCGTTTATTGCACAATGGAAGTTGATAGTTGTGCGAAACTTCAGACCGATCACGCAGAAGCTTCTAAGCCATCGTATTTTTCCACTTTCTCTTTTATTATTTTTATTTTAAATTGTAGTTTAAATTATTGAATTCACCTAAATATTTAATACTCGCAAAAAATATTATCATTTTTAGATGGGATACACAAGGAGATTTTACAACGAAACATCCATTACCAACGATAAAAGTGAAATTATATACTGAAATAAAGAGTATTGTTTCATTTGAAGACAAGGAACTCGGCAAAGTAAATATTTTTTTTTGTGAATCTCAGTGATTATTCATGAAAGCTATATCTTTGAAGCCTCGCAAATAATGATTCTCCTCTGATAACACTGATATCGTTAGTGTCTTAGTTTCAGCTAAGAAAATATTTCAAATTTCTTAAAAAATTGGACCTAAAAAAAAACTAAGATATTTTTGATGTTATTTTAAAAATAACGGGCATTTAACTATTTAAACGAATGAACGAAATTATACAAAAAATTTATCCATTTTTTTTTCGTTTAATTTTATGCCTTATTATATGCATATATCTACTGCATAAAGTATATATATTTTAAATTTCAGGTTGTTATAAGGCCGACGCCGAATTGCTCGAAAGCACCAGAATGGTATAAAATGACCGTTCCCAAAAATAGTTCAGATCAAAACTTAAGGATAAGGATAGCAATTAGAGTTGAAAAGCCACCAAATCTCAAATATTGTGGTTATTGTTACGCTTTAGGCCGATTAATATGGAAGAAATGGAAAAGGAGATTTTTTTGCCTCGTTCAGGTTAATAATTTCTCTATAATCTTAAAAAAAATCCATTTTTTTTTATATTTTCAATATTCTGTTATTTTTCAGGTATCTCAATATGCCTTTGCAATGTGTAGTTATAGAGAAAAGAAAGCAGATCCAACAGAATTCAGTTCATTAGATGGTTTTACTATTGATTATATGCCCGAACCTGATCCAGGTATTTTTTTTTAATTCGATTTTCATTTTTAATCCTTTTTTTGAAAGAATTTCAAAAATTTGAAAAAATTTTTTCAGATTTATACAATCAAGGAGGAAAATATTTTTTCACTGCCATAAAAGAAGGAGATGAATTGAAATTCGCAACCGATGATGAAAATGAAAGGCATATGTGGGTTCAAGTACGTTGATATTTTGATAAAAACTTATTGATAAAAATTGATAAGGAATTGTTTTTGATTTTTTGATATTTTATCGAATAGATGAAAAAATTTCGAGTTTTTTCTTTCTTTTATTTAATATAAATTTTTCATTGAGAAATCGCTGGTACGTACCTAATATAAAATTCATTTCGATAGAAAGGGTTTCGCTTAATAGGATTTTCTTCTTTTTTAGGTAAAAGGAAACGTTTTTCTAGGCTTTGTATCGTGCTACAGGACAGGCCTATAAACCAGTACCTCCAAAACAGTCATCAGTTTTGTCAACTAAAGTACAAGGTTTCGCGGACAAGGCAAGTAAACATGGCATGGATGAATTAATCCAGGCAGATCCGATAAACTACAATCATGACCATCTCTTTAGTAAACTTCAGTCCTTAACACTCGATTTTCGATTAAACGAACCAGTTTGCTCTTTGGTTTGTTTTATTTTTACATTTACTATTTGCAAGCCTTTTTTTTCAGTGTTACTCACGGACTATAAGCCATATATCAGTATTTTTTCCACAAATCACGTAAATTATTCTCTTTTAATGATTTTTTATTAGGGAATATCAAGCAAATTATAGGGATGGTTTTCTCCTGGGCAAATCTTTGTATTAGATGAATATTGCGCACGTTATACGGTTCGAGGATGCCACAGGCATGTATCGCTTCTAAGGGATTTATTAAACAAGGCAGATGATGGCTTTTTAATTGACCCAACATTAATACATTACTCTTTCGCATTTTGCGCTTCGCATGTTCACGGTAATCGGTTAGTTTTCTCGCAATTTCTAAAGATTTTGGCTCATTGATGGCATTTTTTTGAGTTATCTCGATATTATTGCCAAAATTTGCAATTATCAAATACTGCAGACCGGACGGAGTGGGGACAGTGACACTTGAAGAAAAGGAAAAATTTCAAGAAGTTAAAGAGCGCTTAAGGACATTACTGGAAAAGCAAATCACGAATTTCCGGTAACTTTTTTTTTCCTTTTCTCTAAATAAATTATCTAAACTTTTCTAGTAAAGTTTATTGGAATATTTCACCGATTTACTTTTATCATCGATGCTTTTTAATTACAAAATGGTAAAATATTTTAAGTGTTAATTATATTTATATTGATAAAAAAAAAAAGTCAAAAATTCATCGTTTTACAAAAAATTATTTTCAATTTTCAATATTTTAAACGCATTCTTTTCGGATGAAATTTTTTATAGATATTGTTTTCCATTTGGGAGGCCCGAAGGCGCACTTAAAGGAACTCTTTCGCTATTGGAACGAGTAATTGCACTTTCCATTTCATATTTTTTAATTTTTAAATAATAATGATAAATGATTCGATGATAAGTCAAATGATTAAAATAATTTTATTACTTACAACAGCATTTCCCATAAACCGAAATGGTTTTGGTCAAATTTTGCCAACTTTTTAAATGAAATACACATTATATACATTGATATATACCTATATTTCATTATTTTGCATATAAAATTTGGATTTTAATATTTCATATTTGAAAAGAATTTCAAAGAATTGAAAAATCCATCTTAAAATAGTGATTAAATTGTTCTTCTCTTTTGTAATGGTACTCACCATTTTGGTTGCGTTTGCCTCACTGGTTTGTCGGACCAAATTTTGGTAGACAATAATTTGTCGATAGAAATATAGGTGAATCGAAGGCATCATACCGCATTGTAAAGAAAGCTTTACTCTTATAAAGAGTAAAACTCCAGCACTCTCATATGGTAGAAATAACCAATGAGCCATTCTACTCCTCGATTTAAATCTTTCTGGCGATGGACCATGCTGTTTAATCGAACATACTAATCGGCTACTAATCGGCTACAAGCTATTGTTTGAACTATATAGTTTAAGCATAAGATAATTTTTCAGGTTCTAATGAAAGATGTTGTTTCTCCAGTTCCACCAGAAGAGGTGAGAAATGTTATCAGGAAATGTCTTGAGGATGCTGCATTAGTTAATTACACTCGGATCTGCAATGAAGCAATGCTTGAGCGTGAGGTTTTACACAAAGGTCATTCCAATATATATGCATTGTACATCTGCTATCGTCGCGTTAACATTGACTTTATAATTTAAAACAATATTGTTCAAATATTTATTTAAATAATACTTTATAGAATAGCAAAAAAATGAATTTTATCAATGAAGTATTATCAAAAAATTTTATCAATAATCAACAAATTTTATCAATATGTGCTAAAAAAAAAAAATTTCAAGGAATTTCAACAAACAAGAAAGATTGCTTAATGATAGCTTGAATCGCTTAAGTACCAAATTCCTTGCTTAATTCCTTGTATTTTTTGGTTTTTTTTTTGGTTCAATCCATAGAAATTCCATGTTTAATTGTTTTAACTGATTTACCAGAGTAGTATCGCTTTGATAACTCAGAAAATCAATCTTTATTAAGTAAGCCTTTAGTGCTCAATATTTCTCATTAGGATAATTCCGCTAGTACGATTGTATTGATACGATTTTCTTGCTAGCTAATCCTGAAATCTAATAGATTTACTTGTACTAGATGAATAAATCTATTATGTTATTCGACGCGAAAACGAAACAACCGAACCACTAGGCTATTATTTATCAAAATTTCTAAAGTTTCTAAATTATTTTCATTAGCCAGATTCGAGTAATAATTAGTAAATAATATTTAAAAAAAAATACCAAATATAATTTGATGATACATTTGAAGAACGTATGGGCTCTGATGTTAGTCCACAACAGCGAATTGAAGATATGATAAGAGTTACGGAATTTTGCATTGATTTGTTAAAGGAAAACGAAGAACACCATGGAGAGGTTTTTATATTTATTTTCTTTATATTAATTAACATTATTAATATTAATTCGAAATAAAATGATATGATAAGAGATTAATACTGATGTATTTAGAAAATATGTTGCAAGATTAGTTTCTTATTATGAAGGCGTTGATGTTGAGAAATATATTGTATCCTCAGTTAGTAATGGTGATTATAATAATGGGAGCCAAAAAATAATGAACTATTAAATAATTATTTTAATAAAATAACATAAATAATAATTTATAATAATAGTAATAAAAATAATAATTTATAATTACAATAATAATAATTTAATGATAATGCGATAAGATTATCAATATCAAACCATGTATTTTTAGGCATTTGCTTGGTTTAGTGATCTACTCGCTGATCATTCCGAAATTTTTTGGTCATTATATTCGGTGGATTTAGATGCCGCGCTTGACGTACAACCACCTGATTCGTGGGATTCATTCCCATTATTTCAATTACTAAACGATTTTCTATGTAGTGAACGTATAAGTTTTATTCTTTTATATATTTAAGAAAAAAAATTTTCTTTGAAAAAAGAAATAAAAAATTTTTCAAATTCAATTTTTTTTTCATTTCATTTGTTTTTTTTCTTTTTTAGCAAATTTAAAGAATGGCCAATTTCATACGAAATTAATTCATCAGTTTTCGCCGAAAGTAGTACGTTATATAGATTTAATGGAACATTCAATAGCGCATTCAATAGAAAAAGGTTTCGCGAGAGAGAAATGGGACGTGCGCAAGTTAGTTTTCGATTTTTTTTACATGATTAAGTATCTCCTTTTTTTATCTTTTAAATTTTGCAGTAATTTTTACACTGAAAATAGGCTTCTTTAATGAATGGCAAAAATGAAACTAAAAATACGAAAATTTTGATAAAATAGATATATGTTAAGCATTATTTGAAAGTATTAAACGAACATCGTCGCAGAGCATTGTGATTAAATCCCAGAAGAAGTAATGAGGAATTGAAATAGCGAGGGATATGGCTTGAGACTTTGCTAGATATGATAACGAGGATGAAAAATTTTCTTGAAGCACATTAAGAAAGCATGATGAAATATATTGGCTTTTAAAATAATTGCCTATCATTTCCTGATATTTGTGATAATGAAATTTGGGCGAGTTTACGCAATCCCGAGGAAATACCGAGTAGCTTGAAGAGTATAGAGAAAATAAACTAGAAATAGAAGAATATTTGAGATTTTTTATCAAAGAGATAAGATGAATTAACTGTTCCACTATTCCGCATTCCGCATTGCCTTTTGCGGCCATATTAACGAATTTTTTTTTAAATACAGTCATAGCTTTCAATTTAATTTATTTTGTAGAGATGGTTGTGCAACTTCAGAGGATATATTTTGGAAATTGGATGCACTTCAAGGATTCATTCAAGATCTCAATTGGCCTGAGGACGAATTCGCGAAATATTTGTTAATGAGGATGAAAACATTAGCAAATGAAATGATAAGCAAATGTGCTAATTGGTAAACTTTTATTATCGCATCAGTGACAATCATTTATAATAATCAATGATAATCGTTAAGCAATTTTCACAACAATGATTATGGCTAATTTCTTATTGAACCATTTTGAGTTTTTCATTAAAATTTAAATCGATAATTTTTTTTTTTGCAGTACTTATCAATATTTCGATTCATTTATGCAAAGAGCTCGAAAATCCACTGATTATATTCTTCCATCAGAGATATGTGTCATGATTAATGTTATTTTTTCATCGAAAACGCGAGCAGCGAAATTGACAATGGACTCTGGAGAGGTTTTTTTTTCGTTCCCACTGGACAAGAAGAATAAAAATGAGACGAGAAAATTTTTGATGAAGCATTCATGCACTTTTTTTTAAAAATATATAATATATTTACATATTATATATATATATATATATATTTAAATATAGTATAATATATATTTGAAAATATAAAAAATATTATAATAAAAATATATTATACATATTTTTAAAATAAAAAATACATTATAATATATATATTTTTAAAAATATTTGAAATTATTTCATTCACAAGAAAATACTTTTTACAATATTTTGCAAAATAATTTCATTTAAATTTATTTTCTTTTTTTTATTTTTATTTATTTATTCATTATTGCTTGATTTATTCGAACTTATTTTTTATAGTATAAATATCATTCGAAATTAGATGAAACATTGGATACTATGTTAAAAGATATGGAAACGTCAATTCAAGACAAAGTAAAATTAAAATTTCAAAATTTCGAAATATTTTTAACATATTAATAATTTTAAAAATTGTCACCAGTTAGTGAAATGCGCAAAAATTTGATGCACTAAAAGATTTTCCTTGTAATATTTAAATTGTAATATAATTGTAATATTGCAATAATATTATTGTAATATTTAATATATAAATATTTTTATTGTTTTTTTTAGCTCTTATCAGTGCTCGAATTTACTTTATCTCGCCTTACTCGCTATGATGAAGGAAATCCTATTGGTGCCATTCTCTCAATTGCTGTCAGTTATTTTTTCAAGAACTTTTTAGTTGTGTTCAAGGAAGAAAATTTGTATTTAATATGCAATATGCGTGCTATATGTACTGTAGATTATTCATAATTTCAGCCTAAACCCACGACAATTTTTAATAAAATGAAGAACATTGTTGCAGAGCATAATATACCAGGTTCGAACCTACCAGCTGCGGGGCAGCATAGTTCAGTGCGTTTTACGAATTTTTTTTAAAATCATACTCTTTAAATGAAAATGATTTTCCTTATCTTTTTGCAAAATTTTTTATTTAGCAAAAACAGACAAACGTACAAGCACAGAATTCAAGCCATTTGGGTCATTCATATGTTACTTTTATGCGTGTTTGCATGGAGCAGTTACGTCAAGTCGTTATTGATGAACTTTGGGTGAATGGATTATTTGAGGTATTTTTTAAATGTTTTCAAAAAATTTCTCGATTAGCCTAGTTTTCCGTCATTTCACCGATGGAGCTTCTTGTCAAACAATAGCAACAAATATTTTTAACCTTTATTTTATAAATCTAGAAGGATTCAGTGCTACGATTAGCTAAGGCACAGCCTCTTTCATTTCCTTCGTAGTCAATCCGAGGTTAAAAAAGACCAGTACCATTCTCAGTGAGAAAGGAATTTTTTTATAAATTTACGTACAGAGAGAGGAATTTTGAAGCACAGAGTCACAAATCACAAATATATCTTTAAGCATTGGTATGAAGGGCAGATGAAATTTATAAACGATTGGTTAATTGAGCGCCTACAACAATCACTTTCACCTTATCAGCTTACTTGCCTATCATTCATAATCAAGGTATTGTCTTTTTTTTTAACCGCATTTCTTGCTTGACTGCATCCACTGGTAAAGACCATTCGTCCAGTATCGTTAGCTCTTATTTAAATTTTAAATAGACCCCAAATATTTTTTGTAATACCTACAATAGCCATAATATACAATATTGGCCATTAGCTGGTAAGTGAAAGCGGAATTGAAAAGATGGATTTTCGACAAACCATCGATGTCGATAAACCATCATTGGATAAAATGTAGTTGGCTATCACAACATCTATATCTATTTTGATATCAACTATGGTCAAAACATTTGCTGCATGCTCATTTCTTTCGTTAATGGCCATGAATCGTTGAGCTTGAACTTTCGCTTTATTATTGGTTTTGTTGATTTAAGAAATACATTAGTTCATTTCAATGCACTGATAATATTTCATCATCGAATCACTTCACAGAATATGAAAATGAAAATGGAGGTGCAAGTGGTACTCCTATTAGCTACCAATTTTAATTTTATCAATAAATAATCTCGTGCAAAAAGAATGGTTAATAAGATAATTAATCTAGTTTTTATCAATTTTTTAAACATGTAATTTTCATCTTTTATCCAATATATTCTGCAGAAAGTGTATTCGGATTTCGAATTACAAGGAATCGATGAAGAATTATTAAACAGTAAAACTTATCAGTCGGTTATGAGAAGGCTACGATTGGAGGAAACAAATTGTGCGTTAAATGAGAAAATTTCAAGTACATCAAGCTCAGTTAGTAGTACGGCTTTGATTGGAAATGCTACACAAGCAGTAACAAATATGGGTTCGATGGTAGAAGGAGCTGGTGCGAAGGTTTTTGCACTTTTCAGGTGATATGGTTCTTAGTTCTATTATTTTATAATAAATTGTTTATATTTGGATGCAATTTTGCAAATATTTTTTGCTTTTCACTTATAAATAAAATGCATTGCTTATGTACATCGTCCATCGGAAAAAAAAAATCAATTTGCCCGTTTATCTTATAAATTTTTCATGAATTTTTTAATTTTTTTATAAAAAACGAATGCTATTTATTTATTGTATCTTATTTGAAAATTTTGTTTTTACGAGGTTTTCTAACATTGCCTTAAGAGTAATAAATTTTAAATCATTTTTCACTTTTTTTTTATATTTAATGGTTCATTTATTTATTTTCGTAATTTATATGCGACATAAAAGTATAAAACCCGCTAGCAATTTACGATTTAACAAAAGCGAGGAATGGAAAGAAAGGGGGAAAAAAAGTGGAACAGTTGCGAAATAGATTTTTAATAGTTCATTTTCATTGTTATTTAATTTTACAGAATTTTAAAATTTTTTTATTTCAAATATATTGACTCCTTTTATTTTAAATATATATCTTTTTATAAAAATAATTATATAAATATTATATAAATATATCTTTTTATTTTAAATATATATTGCCAAATACTATTTTTTCATTTGACTCTCGATTTTTTTTTAAAATGAATATTTTGAAAGATTTAACGAAGTATTAGTGTTAAGTTTTTAAAGATATATAAATATATATAGTTGGAAATATTGTGATATTCATGATTTGTACTTTATTTTTTTATAAAAATGGCAAAGAATTTTCAAGGATTGAAGAGGAATTTTTCAGTTTTTCCTGAATTTTTTACAAAAAAAAGAATTTTTTAAAAAGGCAATTTTATTTATATTTAGGAAAAAATTTATCTAACATTTTAATCCTCAATTTTGTTTTAAATTTATTAAAATGCTATTTATTGCTTCAAAAGTAATTTACTTTATAATTACTTGGATTATCAACTATGCATTTTTTTTGTTATCTTTCAACATTATTGCTTCGAATGAATGTAAAGTTTTCATATATTTTCTTAATCTTTTTTATTAATAGAAAAATTCGAAATAGTTAATAAAATTCTAATTTCATTACTTATGGAATTTTACAGAACAATAACCATTTGCAAACCAAAATAAAAAAAGCGTTAATTAATCGCTTATTTATTATTAATTTTTTTGCTAAATGAATTTTAAGTTAAAGTCACTTAATTAAATAAAATTTTAGACTAAAAAGATAATAAATATTGAATATTTAAAAAATAAATGATAAACAGCTGATAACTGAATAAAAAAACGCTGAAGAATTTAGAAGTCAAAAAATCTGTTTTTGTTTTTTTTGTATTTCTGCAGAATTTCTGATTTTGCGACTATTGACAATTAATATTTCCCACTTTATTCGTTTCTAACCATAATTGGTTTGCAGCGGTTTTTAATTTGAAATATGGACGCCATTCCTAGAAAAATATTGTTTTTGATAAAAATTTCTGATATATTTCTAACTGTAGACAATTGGTCTCATAAATAATCCTATGTAACTCAATCGGATAGAATGGCTCAATGGGGTGTTGCTCAATTGGGAGCGCCGATGCTGAGGTTCTATCCCCCCCAGGAGTAAACCTGTGTAAAAATCCGGGTGGGTGATGCTGGCGGCTCACCTGTATTTCTATCGCCAAGGGATTCCCTCGCATATTGCCCAATGCAATAAGCCAGTGGAGCGAGTTTAACCAGTAATGGTGAGGACTCTAAGAAAAAGAAAAAAAATATAACTAAATAGCAGCACTTATTTTATCACTTCTAAATATACCTCAATTTTTTTGTTTGTCATTTGGTAATTTTATGCAAAAAAGGAACGAAATATCGGTCTACAACAAATTTATGGATTCATTTAGGCTATAAATAGGTTATAGCAATCGTTCAGATATTATAAGGTTTTAAAAGGAAACGATATTCGTTGCAAGGGAATAAATATATGATGCAACTATCCTTTAAAAATACTTATATTTTCCATAAATGATTAAAGAACTGGAAGAATCATGTATAAATTAAAAAATACAAAAATAATAAATAAGCAACAAAACAGAAATAAAAGTGAAGAATAGTGAAATTTAAGCCTTCTGCATCTCATAAAAGAAACATTAACATTATCGTTCTAGATATAAAATTTCTTCGCGATTATCCCACATTTATTGATATATTCCATTTATTGATATAGCTAGGGAAAATTACCCTGAGATGCTTGCATTGATCAACAATAGTACAAACGAAGAAAGGTAGCCAAACAGTGCAAAAATAAAACAAATTTGTGGTATAGTAGCGTATATGTTCATAAAGATTCATCCTATGTGAAGGTTCCTTCGTCTTTAGTGAATGCATTAGTAGCTTGTACGGGAAGTGATTTTTTGAAGATACGATCTTCTTGACTGTAGAATCAAAAGAACAAAAGCATCATATCATGAGCGCATATGGATGCCAATTTAAAGATTTTATAGAATATTTTTAAAATTAATTAAATTAATTAAAATTAATTAAAATATAAACTTTTAATCCTTAACGGCAGGTTTCAATTATATTTCATGCAATTTTATTTTTATTAACTGAAAAATTTTTTATTTTATTTTAATTATTTATCACTTTCGAGCGATTTCAAAATTTTTGAAAATATTTTATGATATATGTGCATAGTCAACATTTTAGGAAATAATTTAATAAAAAAATTACTAAATACTAAAAATATGAATAGTGAAACGACAGTTTTATTGCCCACGAAGGTACCATTTTTCGAAAATTTTTCGTATAATAAGTTTTTCAATAAAATTAATTAAAATATATTAAGGAGAATTTTTAATAAAATTTTTGCATGCAAGGTTATTTGTGAAATTTTGACAAAGGTAACAATTAAAAATTTTTAATTTTTAACTATGCAAATTTAATTAATATGAAAATGCAAATATGAAATATGAAATAGATTTTAGGGGCTCGTTGCATTAGTTACTGGTGGAGCTTCCGGTCTTGGAAAGGCTACTGTCGAGTTTTTAATAAACCGTGGGCTGAAGGTAGCCATCGTTGATTTGCCATCTTCAAATGGCGCAGATGTAGCCAAAAGTTGCGGTGAAAATTGTCTTTTCATTCCAGCAAATGTAAGGTTGCGTGCAACATTTTCAAACATTTATATTCTCAAAGACCAATTGAAATATTTTCAACGAAAGGATCATCTCAGTTCATAATTACTTTACAAAAATGCATGCGAAAAATCCATGCAAAAATAATTGAAAGTTGAAATAATGCATTGGGTTGGTTGTCTCAATTCAGAGTACCGATGCCTGTGATTTTA